ATATAGTATAATCTGACTTTACATTCTGTTTTTGAAACCAAAGATCTTGGTTATTCTTGGCTTTATAAAAAGAAGATTTCACTGAAATTACTGGTATAAATTCTCTTTATCTTTCCCTGGTTTGATCTCATTCCGATTACTATTCCACAGTTTGGTCCCCCAAAACATTACACAAAGTGAAACCCAAGGTACAGCACAATATCCGGAGATATGAATTTCACTAGTGCGGACTTCCAATGTCTACTATATAGTAGACAATGGAAGTCCGAACTAGTGAAATTCATCACGAAACATTGTCAATCACCTTCAAACATCCGGAGATATATTGCCTTTATGATGCGTATATACTATGACTATGTTGCATTAGAGAGCTTATTCAACATACTCAGAAAACATAGAGACTTAATACTTCTATTTAAAATTATCAACAGACTGAGTACCAGACCTGAGCTTCTCTCCAAGTGATCTCTAGTCGTTCAACCTGTCATGTTTCTTTTCACAAATTCAATTACTCATACAACAGCTTTTACCCCCAGAACTCTTTTATAAGCTGACTTTTTGAATAACCATCAAATCTTTAATATATCAATTTTCCGCCTCAAAAACCATATACTTGACCCAGCTGTCGGATACTTGTGCAACAGCTTGGGCTGTTGTATTGTGTTTAATGTTATTTACCTACATTAATTCATATTGTTATACCTTGTTGATTTTTTTCAAGTCATCTATATAAAATCTTCATATTTTGAAACTATATTATTCTTATAATTTACTTTCAATCCACTACATTGCTTCGACTACTATATAACACTGTGTTAATTTTATCTGAATTGGGCTGCAATTTGAGGATTGACAGAAGACACAATCCATGAATAACAAAAATGAACAAGACTCTCCAAAATGTCTGCAAAACGAAGCTTTGACATCGATTGCCGGAAAAGATTTGTCCTCTCGTCTTTCTGTGCATTTTTCACAGCAAGCCAAGTAGTTGAAATCCAAACACAAAGTAACCGTGAACCAACACTAGATAGCGCTGTTCCCCATATCATATATCTCATCAGTGGTGCTTGTCCTGTGACAGTTGAGTCTAACAAAGCATTGTGGTTCAGGTTAGTGCTTTTTTGTATATCAATGGAATTACTACTATTTTTAATATTGAACAAGTGAGATCGACAATTATTATTTGATGTGAAAGTTGTAGTTCATTCGTTTCTACTTTTAAATTACTTGCAGTTTCTGTTATTGATTTTGTATTTACAATATCTTGATTATCCATTGTTTTTTCCAGTTCCTATCTCAAGCTTCTCTTTTGGTTTACTTCTCGCACAAGCAACCAATCTTTTCCTACTTCATTTTGAACATTTTAATTTTTAATGTCTCAACCCTGTAGCCATCTATTTCCATTTAGCCATTCATTACAGCCATCACTGGCTGTTTTTTCATTTATATGTTTGAATTATTGGTATACATACACGTTTTCCACAAAATTGTGTTTCCGGTTATGGAAAATTCACTTCTGCCTGACTTTCCTTCTATCTAGTTTTTGTTCTGTGGAGAATTGTTAACTAAACTTAATAGTTGTGATGCACTATTTGGAACTTTTGGTGTAGTAATGAATATTACCGGAGTTTTATCCTAACACCAAACCGTTATTTTTAACACCTCGGCACGTGTTTCGATCACTAAGTGATCATCTTCAAGTAGAAGATTAAACAGTTTAATATTCCTCTTGAAGATGACTAAACAGTTTAATCTTTGTCTTGAAGATGATCACTTGGTGATTGAAATAGTGTCGAGGTGTTAAAAAATAATGGTTTGGTGTTGGGATAAAACTCCAGTAATATTCAAACTTGATAGGTAGAATCGAAATCTCAAGCTTAAATGAATCTATTGTGATTATTTTTCCATCATCAGAAACATGTGTCGAGAGCCAGCATTCTATTTCTTTTAGGAAAGGTATTCCTAAAAGATTAATTTTTTGCCAGAGATTNCTTTATTCATTCTGCCAACAGTTTCTTCTAAATTTACTCCAGTACAGGCCAATAAGGTATCATTTGCAAATAAGTTGATGAACTCACAGTCTGTAAATAATTGAATATCATTCAGATACAGAATGAATAATAGGGGACCAAGCATACTACCTTTTGGCACTCCTGTGTGATTTGTTATATATGATGAGAAATAATCGTTCACAGGTACTCTCTGTTTCCTATTTGATAAATAATTACTTATCCATTCATAAACCATCCCCTCAATCCCATATCTTCTCAGCTTCTGAAGCAAAATACTATCAATCGTTTCAAGGGCCTTTTTGAAATATGAAAAGACAGCTACAACATATTTACCTTTATCTGTTTCATTAGTAAATTTAGTTAATGATAACTGTAGTGCTGTTTTGCAAGAATGTTTTTTTTTTTCGAAAACCAGATTGATTGCTAAACATGATTTGATTTTTGTCAATAAACTCTAACAATTGATTATATACTGCTATTTCTAAAACTTTCTCTATTGGAGGTAAGGTATTAATAGGTCTAAATTGACTTACTTTTATAGTGTTTGTAACTTTAGGTATGGGTATAATGGTAATTATTTTTAATAATTCGGGCAATTGACCATTCTGGAGCGATTTATTGATTAAATTGAGGATTGCATGACCAGCTGTTTCAAATACTTGCTTTAACATTTTAGAATATTAGATTGACTGGTGCCTCAGCTATACTTGTTTCCTTATAACAGTCAGTTGGTATGGCACATGTTTGGCAATACAGTCGATCATCACCTGTTGAAAGTTCCATTTTCAGATGATTTAACAATAAGCTCTGCACGGACTGGTTATTAGTCATATTAGGAAACGCTAGATGAAGTTCCAGAAATTAACATACGTTTTTGCTACCTCTTGAACAGTTATTACAAAGTAAATAAGTGAGGATTTTTCCAGCAAAAGATTTAAAAACACAAGACGAGATAGACTGTACGGAATCATTCAATCTAGAGCGGTCAGGAGTATTGATTCTGCTATTGTTTTGGTCACGAAGAGTATTCAACAAGAACCCCAAGAATTCGGAACAATCCTCTTGTTGTCCTAACGAGTATCTAGTGGACTTCGAAGACTCCAGGAAATCGGTTGGAGGGAAAGATGATACATTCTTATGAAACTGCAGCTGCACGAACAGGTGTTTGAGGTGTTTCTCAAGCTGCGATCGATCCTTCCAAGTAATGAAGGGTTTCGTAGAGGGATCATTTCGGCTCTTGCTTCATGAAGTTCTTCCACTGTTGTTTCAAAAGTTTTTTTTAGTGTAATTCAATGTTTATATGAAAGTAGTTGTTTCAAGAGGGTTTTCTCTTCCAGTTTGTGTGTGAAAGATACTTCTTTGCATGATCTACACATATTTGTAGAGTTTATTTTGAAATCAATTGCTTTCTTCCTTTCTTTGGAAGCAAAAACCTTTCTTTCCCAAATATACTAAACACTTCATTTTCTTTTGTATATGTCTCTACAAAAGCAAAGAAGTATATGTTAGAACTGCTTGATTCCACTTCTTGTTGAAATATTGAGTCTTTCCTTTGGATTAGGTTTAAGGTCGTTGTATGAATTCTAAGAAGACCCTATCATACTTTCTTCCTATGAAGATGACTCGGTCATCAGCATAACATTGAGTGTGAAGTGCAGCTTTTACTGTACCCCTGATTCATCTGTCATTCAACTTTATATTCATTCTATTTGAAAGTATTGATCCAAAACACTTTGCTTTTTTTCCTAATTACACCAAAACTTGATGCAGCAGAAGCAACTGTTCTTGAATTTTTGTTGCATTCCTAGGAATACAACTTGAAAAGATGTCTGTTCCTTTTAGAATAAACCCAGGCATTGGTTTTGTCCAAAAAGATAAATGTCTTCGAACCGGGTTAAAATGGACACAAATATGTCTTGGCACAATCATGTCGCTGGAATTGCGAAGGCTGCTTCTAAAAAGCTTGGAACACTGTTCCGAACCAGAAAACTGTACACACCTCAGCAACTTTTGATCTTTTATATAGCTCAGCTTAGACCTTCTTTGGAGTATTTTTCTCATTTATGGAGCTCCGCCCCTAACAATACCCTAAAGCAGCTGGATTCCATTCAGAAAAGAGCCATCCGCCTGATTGAAGACATGAACATCACATGCAACCTTGACAGTCTGGATCATTGAAGAAAGGTTGGGAATTTGTCTCTCTTCTATAGATACTTTGACGGGAAGTGTTCAAGTGACTTGGCACAATTGATTCCACCAAGAGCGGTACATATCAGAAATACTCGACGGACTGTGACTGCTCATCGTTTTGAGGTCAATACACCTCGAACTTCACTGTTCAAGAACTCTTGGAGAACTAGGTTTATGTGGAATAAACTTCGCGAGAACGTTTTTCCAAATGGATTTAATCTCCAGCGATTCAAATCCAATGTGAATCACTACCTTCGTAAAGGCATCGCTCTTAAAGCACCTTAAAGATTTTTCTGTAGTGCTTATGTTTTGTCCTTTAAAAAATTCTTAAAAGCCACTCCAATTGCATCATCCATGGGATTAGCTACAAAAAGTTGTGAATATTGACTGGACTGTGCCTACACATTTTTTGAGTAAGTAATTATTTTCTCTTGTAATCAAATAATGGATTCTTAAGAGGTATTACTGAAGGCACCCCTCATGTCAGTGAAGGCACAAGAAGCAATATCTATTGCCATGAATGTCTTTGCAATCATTCCAATCTATAGAAAATTGACTGGAGATTCTTTGGTCACGTAAGCTAATTGCTTCTCGGGGAGACTTTCGTCTGCCATAAATATAATTCTTATACACAAATTTATTATTTTTTCCACAATCTGCAGAAAAAAACACAAACTGAACTGTCAATTTTGACTGTATATCATTTGACTCATTATCTGATGAAACACGTCTATGTATGCTTGAAAAACAGTGGGTGTTGGTTACCTATATTTTCATTAACATTAATTAATAACTCACCTCAACTTTACATTTGTCTAGAAATAAAGCGTCAGTTTTACAAAAGGCATCTAGCAAGGCTTGTTCCGGATTAGTGATGAAGTATTTGCTTTCGGCAAGATACTGATGCAAATGGGCTGCACTGTAGGTTGCAGCATCATGTCCTGCATGACCATCAAATACTGCATAATAACTGGACGGACTCGCTTCCTAAAATCATAAAGGGTTCAAATCAGCTTATCTACATACCATATGAATTGAACTAACTTAAAATGACAAAATGGCTTTGAACATTTCCACAGATAGCGAAAACATTTTATGAATGAAACTTACAATAACATCAAATAGAACCAGGCAGGGAAAGTTCGAAAATAACCTTCACATTTACCTGCAGGGCAAAACTTTGACGAGGTTTATATAGTTTTGTAGTAGAAAGGATTTGGTGAAGATTTTATTTATATAACTATGTTAAAATTTAAAAGACTGGCGAATTCTCCTTCTTGAACAGAAATCCGTGTTGACTTGTCCATAATCCTGATAGTCCATCACTGATATTTAAAAGTTAAAGCAAGTTGGCAGATATGATTATTTCGCAAAAGGTCGATAGTGTTTGCAAGTGAATAAAGTAGTGCTTTGCATGTCGCTTAGAGGTTCTAGTTTTTCCTCTCGTTGGGGTAAAGAGAGAAATGTATAAACCATGTCTGAAAATGATAGAAGGAATAGCGAAAACTTGCATGGTTGTTTGTAACACTAACTTTGGATTTAAAATCAATTTTAAAGTTGATATTGAATTATAGAAATATTATTGATTCGAAAATTTGAGAAATGAATTATACAGAAATTCCAATTTTTTTATATATTCACAAATTTTGACATTCATTAAAAACATTAAGTGAAATTTTCGAAGGATGTTTAGGGTCCTCCAACACGGACTTCAGTACTTTGACAATTGATAACGGCCATCTTGTTGAAGCTACATCTGTCAAATAAGTTATTGATTCAGTCAGTTTTGCCAAATCACCATGGACGAATATAGTATTCAACAACACGTACAAATAATAAGTATACATACATACAAATATAAGTACAAATAATAATATGTATTTTCTTGGCTATAAGCCTATTTTGTTTTATATAAGTCAAATATTACAAATGTGCCATGTACTTATTTTGATACTTCCTGTTGCCTGACAAGTAAGTAATCTTAAACAATTTTTGCAAATTTCTTAACCTTGTTCATTGTTTCACCCAGACCAGCACTTTAATATGACCAGAATTCTTTGCTCCGCGATCTTCAAAATTATCTGTAATCTGAAAGAAACTTAATATGATTTACCTGAATATTGAACATGGTGTTCAGGTCGTGTATGACTACATGGCGATCTTCCATTCTCTTTCTAGAATTCTTGATAGCACTCGCACTGGTTATGCAAAAAGGGGTTCCTGGTGACGGCAGAGAACATAACATGCTGTTATCCAAATATCTCAGGCATACTTCGTTCGTCTTTGCCATAACCGTTTGCATCAGCTTCAGTGGTTCATAAGCTGAAAAACATTTAAGAAGTGTTTTATTCAATAACTGTATTCAAGACTTTGAAATTATTTCTAATATTAATCAACTAATAATAGTAGGTCATTAGAAGAAATGAGCCAAAAAATCATGCAATGTATTGTGAAACATGGTAGTTTAGTTGCCATCTGAAGTAAAGGAGAATAAATTTATAGAGGGTACACAATTCACGCTGGCATAGTAATGTGTAGTCAAATATATGTATAGATTAGTATTATGATAAAACTTGATTGGAAAATGAGAGAAATCAGCTGCAGTCTACTCCAACTGATTCCCATCACTGACACTGACAATTTTGTTAGAGGAACAATATAATATCAGCAATGCATCGAATGGTAATCTTAAATAAGTGTTACTATGATGGCTGAAGAAGTCAGCAATTCATTCTGGTGAAACGTTAGGATGCAGTTCCAAACTACGACGGCCTTCAAACTACGACGGCCTTCAAACCCGAATGAAGATAGTAACACCGAAAATCTCGGCCGCGAGAGCCTTGAGTAATTTATAAATCTTAAATAATATGCCATCATCAAATGATATTTCTAAGAAGAAAATGTTATAGATTAATACCAACATTTTCGCGCGTCAGAAAACTCAAATTTATTTTGTTTAGCATTTTTCCATTTGGTATTTGATGTTTTGGCTTGGTAATCATTAATGGTTGGGGTTGTGTTATCAGACTGTCATTAGTTGGCATCTTACTTACAGAGGTACAACGTAGGTACAATAATACTGTTGTGAATCATCTAAAAAAAAAGATAACGCCGACCGCCGCTGGCCGTCGTAAATAAATTGTGACGTAGCCAAGATCGCATTCAGCCCGAGCGGCGTTTCTCGGTTGTTTTAGTTTTCGCGTCCTTTCGATGGACTTCTGGCGAATTTGCTATCGCCTTCGAGATACTTCGGCAGCCATATATAAACGCTATCCATGTACATATCGAGTAGTATCAAGTCAAACAGGCCATCATTGATCACCGAAACGAAAGGTGGCAGGAGCTCTTGGAATCCCTTGAGCCTGAGGATGGCGAGCTTTGGCGAGTCACCCGCAGAATTAAAGGGAAGAAGACTGCTCCCTCACCCATTCACGCAGAGCTCGGAGTGTGCTACTTCCCCGTCAACAAAGCGTTGGCCTTTGCCGACACGATGGAACGTCAGTTTCAACTTAACGTTGACGACAATGATGACATCGACCGCGATATTCTGCTGGAAGATCGGGTCCACCGTATCCTCAGGGACGATAACATCAGCTCAGCTTCTGCGGAAGAGCTGAAGGGTTATATCAGGGCCACAAAGGCCAAGAAAGCTCCGGGGGTCGATTCAATAATAACCAATAAGTTGTTGAAGAGGCTTCCGGACAACTGCGTCGGAAGTCTACTTCAGATCATAAACAGTTCGTTGGCCCTCAGATACTTCCCCAGAAGGTGGAAGCATGCGATCTTTGTCATGATCCCAAAACAGAGTCAGAACCTGCTGTTGCCGCAGAATTATCGTCCGATCAGTCTGCTCTCGTCGGCGGCTAAGCTGGCTGGAAGAGTCGTTCTGCAAAGACTCAACGAAGAAGTTGAGGACCGAAATGTTCTGCCTGACGAACAATTCGGCTCCAGGAGAGAACACTCCACTGAGCTCCAGGCACTGATACTGGTCGAAAACACCATCGCAGAGCTAAACCAAAATCGTAAAGTTCATGTCGTCCTTTTAGACATCTCGAAGGCGTCCGACCGTGNAGTTTTTTTTTCTTTTTTGTGATTTTCTGTTATTTGGTTATAATAGACTAATTTATTTTGATTTTTATGTATTATATTTAGGTAAAGTACATTAATTATGTTTATATTAGGCTTGCCTATCTGGAAATAAAGTTCTTCTTCTTCTACGCCGATGACACGGCTCTCCTCTCATCTTCCATGGGTCGGGAGCTCGAGATCGTCTACATGCAACGTGCATTGGACAACCTCGAGCGCTGGTACCTCTAATGGAAGATCCGAGTGAACCCGGACACGACTCAGGAGATAGCCATGGGAAGAACGATATCTTCTCCGGCCAGAAAAGTGAGAATCTCTGGAAGGGAGATCGACTGACAAGCGCGGGTAAAGTACATCGGTCTTCTGATAGGCCGTAGGCTTACCTGGAACCCTCACATCACAACCGTGAAGGCAAAGATCGAGGATCGGATCAAAAGTATGTACCCTCTGATCAACAGACGATCTAAACTGAGCCTCAAAAACAAACTTACGATCTACAACACGATGTTCAAGCCTGTCATCACGTATGCTTCCGGCGTCTGGGGACAAGCGGCTCCGTCTAACATCTCCATTCTGGAGAGATTACAAAATAAGCTAATACGGATGATTGTGAATTATCCGTGGTTCGTGCGGAATGAAGCCATCCGCAGAGATTTGCAGCTGCCTTCCATCAAGCAGTTCATTCAGTCAAGGAATCGGCGAGTTTTTGATTGTGCAGAAATTAACGAAAACCCGTTAGTTAGGGAAGCTATTGATTACACTGTAGACGACCCCTCCCGATATAGAAGGCCTCGACACTCTGTCGAATGAGGCCCTCCTTCGACATCTTTCATCCATCCACCCCAGCCAGGTAGGGGAACATCGTGAAGGGCGGTACTGATGTCTGAGGACTTTCATACCGCCGCCACCTCTGAGAACCCATTGTGTCTCTCTGACAAAAATCAGCCGCAAGGGTAAGGTAGCTAGGCTCCAACCTGTCTGGCTGTAATATCGATAGTCAAGTAGTCAAGTTTAGGGGACAGTACGGTATAGAGCGATCTAATAAGGCGATAGATATTTGAATAATAGTTGAAGTTTTAGTTGAAATATTTGTATCAACAATGAAATTAAATTAGATTTGATTATTGTACAATGTAGTCAAATATTGGTAAACCCACGGGTAGAACATAACAATACCTACTAGGAATTTGAAAAAACGAACAGGATATCGAAACTTGTAGTTAGTACACCAATTAAGATATTGAAATTCAGTTCAGACTTTCTTTTTTTACATAAATACCTTGCATATCCATAGCAATGCCACTGAGAGTTGCACCAACTTAAATCATTTATAAAAAACGACTTGAAACAAGATATATCATATCCTGATTTAACAGATATATACAATGATGCAAAACGTGAACATTCATCTCTACTAATTGAAAAAAGGAAAAGCTAGTGTCAAAATCGTATATTTAACTCATCAAATACTATGAGTACATCTTGGACAATTATTTCAGAATTATCGAACAAGTATAAGAAAACTGACCAAAATATAGTAATCAATAAAAACAGAGAATTGACAGAAGATGCATCTGAAAAAGCTTCTCTCTTCAACCAATTTTTCATCAAAACTCCTATTAATCTATTGAACAATATTCCTAAAATCAGTCACCTCAAGCGTAACAACGATTTCAATAAGGTGAGCATGTTCTTGCAACCGTTTTCCGAAAAAGAACTTTTACTTCTGAAGAGAAGAATAAATAATAAAAATTCTGCTGGATCAGATGAGATCGCAGGATTTATTTTGAGGGATGTCCTCGGGGATTATTCCTTCCCTAACTCATTTGGTGAATTTATCTTTTCATACAGGTTCATTTCCAAATGCTATTAAAATTTGAAAAGTCATACCGATTCACAAGAAAAATTATTCTAAATTTACATACCGATAACTATTCCAACTGTATTTTCAAAGTTATTTGAATATGCCTTTATCGACCGTCTTTGGAATTTCATTGAGAAGCATAAGATTTCATCTGAAAAACAACATGGATTCTAGGGCGGAATATCAACATCAACCGCTATATTATCTTTTTTCAACCAAATAATCGAACATACTGCTGCTGATGAATGTCCAGCAGCAATCTTCTGTGATTTAAGCCGAGCCTTTGACTATGTAAACCACGGAAAACTATTAGAATTTTTANCTTATCAACTAAATGTCTTAATAAAATATATCGATAGTTGTTTTTAATTTCGTCAACTCTATCACGCCAGATATTCCCTTGTATATTGTTGACTTAGTAAGATTTCTATTTCATTTGTCAAAAGTTAATCGATTGTTTCACTAGTCAAATGTATTTTTTTTTAGAAATAGACATTTACTTGTTTTCTGTTATTTTTATAAATTGTACTATATTTTCTATTGACGTTTTTTATGCCAAACTAGGTGTTATTTGACCAAGTACAGCTAACTTCATAAGAAAAACAATTTTACAAAAAGGAAATTTCTAAGTCTATAATATAAATATGAAAGAGTAGACTGAGTTCTGAACAGGAGAGCCGAGTTCATGAAAGCATTTTTATTTTTGGCAACTGACTACTTGCTAATGATCTACAAAAAATTTAAATAACGGTAAATAATTTGACATTATGTAATACTATCATTGTATTGGCACATATTTTCAATATGAATGACTACAAAATCGTTAATAAAAAAAAAAACTACAACAAATGTACTATTTGAAATACTCACATAGATACGACAGTAAAGCATATTATGATCAGATGATCGATATTTCTCCACCCTTTTCGTATTTTACAGAAAAATAAAAATACACGGTCAAGTTATTTTCAAAAGGGAAGAACTTTTGAACAAAAAAAACAGCAAAATCTTCATCCAGCCAAGTATGTGTGTCATCCCTCAAGTTTTTTAAATGAGAATTAAATTCGTAATACTTCATTTTTTTAGAAAATAATGGAGCTTGAAAATATCGACAATATGTTCGATGAAAACTGCCAAAGTCTGCTGTTTAGCTAACGGCATCCTGATAATCATGCATCTGGGAAAATTGATCGCGAATCGAGAGTCAAATTTTCCGAAACAAGTTCCGTTTATAAATATTGAGAGCAGCAAATGAACCTAAGGAGATAGCTGTATTGGGGCAAGTTGCAATGAATAGACTTATCTAAAGAACAGAGAATTAGAGATAAACTGCTTGCTAGTCCCAACAGGATTCTTCTGGTCGGTAGCAAAAGCTGTTAATCAAAATCCTCAATTCCACCACTAAGACAAGCGGATGGTTCAATTGCAACAAGAGCCATAGAAAAAGCAAATCTACTAGCTGAACAATTTGTGTCCCACTCCACAGTCGATTTTCTGGGAAAGCCACCACCCACTATTTCCACACTAGAATACACAATGGGGAAAATTACTTTTCGACAACATTTAGTCAGGCGAATTTTGAAACAGCTCAATATCAACAAGGCCTCTGGTCCCGATGAAATGCCCGTCATAGTCCTTAAAAATTTCGCAATTGAACTCGCACCAGTATTTTGCAGACTTTTCAACCTGTCTTACAAGAATAGGGGTTTTTCTTCTTGTTGACAGATTGCTCGCGTTCAGCCCATTCCCAAAAAGGGCAAAAAAAATCGTTCAAATAACTAAAGACGAGTCGCTTTGCTAACAGTGCTATCCCTGCAAGTGGCCGTCGATGGATATATCTCGAATACTTTTACCATCCACGCTGGTGTTCTCTATTGTCCCATATTGTCTGCCACCCTCTTGTTATTGTATATCAACAACTTATTGGAAAAAACCAAGAATCCAATATGTTGCTTTGCTGACGACAGCACACTTGTTTCGTCATTCCATTTGGATTCCAGAACATCGGCTGCACATGCACATCTTCACCGGCAGCAGGAGGTTGCATATCTTAATGGGGATCTAGAAGTGATTTCAAATTGGGGTAAAAGTAACTAGGTTCAATTCAATGCCACGAAAACCCAGGCATCGATTTCCTCCAAAAAGATAAATGTCTCCGAACCGGATATAATAATGTCAGGACAGACAATTCCGCTTCATGCTTCGATAAGTTTGTTGGAGGTTAAAATAGACACCAATATGTCTTGGCACAATCATGTCGCTGGAATTGTAAAGGCTGCTTCTCAAAGGCTTGAAACACTGTTCCGAACCAGAAAACTGTACACACCTCAGCAACTTTTGATGCTTTATAAAGCTCAGATCAGACCTTCTTTGGCACAATCATGTCACTGGAACTGCGAAGGCTGCTTCTCAAAAGCTTGGAACACTGTGCCGAACCAGAAAACTACACACCTCAGCTTTATAAAGGTCAGATCAGACTTTCTTTGGACTATTTTTCTCATGATAGAGATCCGCCCCCAAGCATACCCTGAAGATGCTGGATTTCATCCAGAAAAGAGCCATCCGCCTGATTGGAGACGCGAACATCACTTGTTCCAGACTTCATAGTCTGGAACATCGAAGAAAGGTTGGAGATTTGGCTATCTTCAAGAGATACTTTCACGGGAAGTGTTCAAGTGACTTGGGACAGTTTATTCCACTACATATCAGAAACACGCGATGGACTGTGGCTGCTCATCATTTTGAGGTTCAACTCAGTGCACCTGGAATTTCACTGTTTAAGAACTCTTTCATGTGGAGAACATTTTCACAAATGACTTCAATCTCTTGCGATTCAAATCCAATGTGAATCACTACTTTCGCACAGGCACCGCTCTTAGAGCGCTTTAAGGATTTTCCTGTAGTGCTTGTGTTTTGTCCTTAAAAAATATTCGTTCAGTGTAAGAACTGAATGAATACGACTTTTACCGTTGCTGGCAAATTTAGGAAATTATATGTGATCGAGCATTCAATGGTTATTTTCTATTCAAAGTGTGTTTTTTATACGAGCGTATTTTTTTCTTGAATGATTTTGTGAATTGTCATATTTGTCGTTAATGTGATTAGATGTCCATATTTCTAAAAGAGTGGATTGATCTTTAAAAATTCTATACATTTTATAGCGCAGTCTCGTGGTGATTTGTAAAAACGTGAAGGGAAACCCTGATAAATTTCACTACCAATACTCCGATAAAATACAAATGTATCTCACAAAAACCAAGTATAATTAATACTTACCGTTATCTGTGATGTTGAAGCCGCAATTCACCGGTTGCTTCTTGCAGGCCTTTCTTATTTCTTCTATTACTGTTTTGATAAGAGGTGCAACTAAATTTGATGGGCATTTTCTAAAACAATATGTATTATATTCAATAAGAGTGGACCAATGTCAGAATTTTCACATATAACGGATTTCTACAAGGACGACAAAGGATTTAAACACATGGGCGTGTTAGTAAGTGAAGGAAATCGGCATAACTTTAGTCTCACCACCACGACCATCACCTTGGAACTCGCATCTGATACTTTTTGGAACATATTTACCAAATTTTAAACGGAAAATTGTGGTTCAATCTACAAAAACTTGTATAACTATTATATGAAACAAGTTACGAAGATAAACTATATAATCATAATTAGATATATGTGGCTCGTTATAAAAATTAGAGAACACCTCATTATCATGAATATTACTCGAGTTTTATTCCAACACCAAACCGTTATTTTTAACACCTCGACCCTTGAAGATGATCACTTGGTGATCGAAACACGTGTCGAGGTGTTAAAATAACGGTTTAGTGTTAGGATAAAACTCCAGTAATATTCATTACTACACTAGAGGTTACAATCAGAGCATCACAAGTACCTCATTAGCATTATTGTTTGAAGTCTTCATCCACGAATTCTTACAATAGAAAACTTAGAAAAATTAACAAGAACTTGTCTAAAAGTCCTTGCAAAAATTATATACATTTATTATCGTGATTACTCAAATGTTATTATAAACAGTCATTTCTAATACAATTCTCTCACACATCAGTCACATATTTCTGACTCAGTGGAAACCCAACTTATTCAAATACCTATTTTCAAATAAAGTAGTTGTAATGAGTTTTTGTTTGAAAGACTGTTTCATTTTTGTGTTAGATTCAAAAAAACAATATTCATTACCCAATCACCTCTCGAATGAAATAAACAACTATTTTGCCCAATTCGTACAAAAATGTTTCTAATAATCGTGATGAAAATATTGAATTTTATAGCAATTATTATTTAATCAGGCAAGATAACTTCTCATTATCATTCGCTACTGAAGAAGCTATTCATGAAATCCTAAATGATATTAAAAGTCAAGCTTCAGGGGTTGATAATATTTCAATAATATTTCACATATCATCAATTGTTGTTTTGAACGTTCATATTTTCCAGACCTGTGGAAAATTGCTGTTGGCAAACCATGCCCAAGAATAATGATCCAGCTAGTTATTCTGATCTCAGAATTATCAGTATACTCCCAACCATGAGTGAAATTTTTGAAAGAGTTATTTATTTACAAATTAATGAATATTTCAATACCAATAATCTGTTATCACCATCGCAATGTGGTTTTAGGCAGGATTTTAGTACGGCTACAGCTCTTGCTACTGTTACGCAACATATTGTTGATGGATTTGATAGGGGAATGATTAGCACCCTGGTTCTACTAGATTTTTCGAAAGCATTCGATACCATCAATCATGAGCTGATTTACATCAAACTCAAATATTATGGTTTTGATAGTGCTGCCTCATTTCTCATCTGGTCTTATTTACTTGGTAGATCTCAAAAAATTGTTGTTGGTGGTCATCACTCCTTACCTCTTGATATTATATCAGGAGTACCACAGGGTTCCATTTTGGGACCTTCATTGTTCATCATTTATACTACTGACATTTTCTCCTCCATCAAGAAATGTAATATACAGGCGTATGCTGATGACATACAATTATACACGTACTTTAAAATCGATTAGTATGCTGAGGCACAAAATCTTTTCAACACTGATCTTGATTTGATCAATGGGCTATCAAGTGAACATGACTTGAAAATTTTATCAGTAGATGTTTCATTACAATTTATCCCCTCTAAAAACATATCCGTCGATACCGTGGCAACAACCATCACAGTAATCACTTGTGAAACTTTTTTCACTATTCCTCATGCATAAGTGAAAACATCGAGTACCCGTAGTAGCCATTCATATATGCCGAGACAAATGCATCAGTAATTTTATCAACAAAAGTTATGTAAATACTCTGGTACTCCAGAAGTACAAATCAAGAGGTATAAAACTGTTGAGGCCTTGGTGGCAACTTCAAGAATTAATCGCTCATTTTATACATGGTCAAAAATAGCATCAAGCTCTTCACTTCCGTCATGGTATATTGTCACATGGTTTCATATAAGGGATGTTAGTCGAGAATCTACGAGTCCATTGAATCTGACAATTTAGATTTCAGTATCGTTAGATATTAATCAGTTTTATATAGTGACTTATGAATCATCAACAAAAAGAAAACGATAAAACAGAATTTGTTTTCTTTCATGAAATGAGGATTTTATTCTGCTCAAAAATATTAGTTTATCATTTGTTTTACATCTTTCCAGTTGAAAGTGGAAGAAAATTTAAATGCCATTCTGGAGTATAAAAATTGTAAGGTGAATTTTCTTATTGTTAGCAATACTCTTGTTCTCCAATTTCATTTCAAACAATTTTCGTTAAGATTTTTTACTGCAGCATTACACTTCCATCTTGAAGAATTTGTATGGATTGCTGAGCAAGACTCAAGGTGGTCTATAGATGCACATCTTTGATAAAATTATAACATTGCGAGTAAAAGATACTCTGAACATAATGTTTGACAAATAACACATTTCAATTTTTCTCGAAGAAGCAATTAATTTTTTAAATTAGTAATGGCGACTTCTGTTATTATTAATTCAAATAAGAAATGGAACATATAAAAATATAATTTGAAAATGTTAAAGCACATTAAAGAATACTTTCTACGAAAGTTGTCCTAAATTCAACATAAAAAATATGAAAAAACAGAATGTCTTATTTGAAATAAGAAGTGCATACTAATATTCAATATACATCACCGTCAATATATTTTAAAAATCACATTCACATTGTCTGATAGGTCACAGTTGCCCCTGTATAATGCTTACACGGTAAATATATAAAAGAGGGTCAAACATTGAGCAAAAAGTCGAAGACCAATTGGTCAAATACACTGTTTCGCAATTGGGTATTTCCGGTTTTTTTTTAAATCCTCAGGAAACTGAGAATTGTATTCAGGAAAATCTAAAGATTAATATTTATCATTAACATGAATTGGTCTAAAGGTTTAAGTTCGAATAGATATTTCTTGCGAGAATTCATCTAATGAAGATGTGGAGTGGTTAATGACCCTAGCTATTGGTGCCGAGATTACCACAAAAATTATTTGAATTCTTCTGAAATTCATAGTTTCATGATTTTTTTTTTTTGTATATTATACAATTAGACTTAAGAACATAATTATTGTCTTATAATTCACAACCCTATGCTGTGTGTTAAAAAAATACAACAGAAAATTTATAATCAATATTATTTCGTTATTTAAAATACCTCAAATACCACTAAATTGTAAAATATCGACTCAAATAGAGTAATTCACTAGTTTATCAAAATTGTCCCGTATTTTATCAGTTCATTCTAATTGCTTCGAAACTGGTCAGATTTGGACTAGTTATATTTGTATCAGTTTGTTTAGGTTTTATATTCAGTCTCATCTGCAACATAACACTAAAAACTGGTGGCAAAAAATATGTACAAAGATTTTTTTTCAGAGCTTTTCACAGTGTCAACGGACATCTAAACAAGAGAGACTGAAACTCTTTGTATGTGTATTGCTGGCTCCATTTTGAAATTTTTGTTCAACGCTCGTTATTCTTTTTTTTAATCTACAAAGTTATCCTTTGATTCTATCAAACAAATATGGCTTGAATGAAATTTTTCGGTGAATGGCATATAAAGATTGCAACTTTTCTACTACATACTGATGAGTTGTCATTTCCAATCGACCATCCCATACTTTCAGAAAATTTGACAATCTGACATTAATTTTCCCTTATTTCATGGTGCACTACTAATATATTCACTTAAAAAAAGCATGTACCATTTTCATATTACATACTTGAAACGGGATAGTAGAGAAGAGTGGTACATAATTTCCTAGACCTGATAGTAAGTAATATTCCATCGGACCTTCAAAAGGCTGTTGTATCAACCATATAATAATAGATATTCATATACCCTCCAGCTCCTGTTCATTAATAAAAAAAGTTGTTGAAGTCAGTGTCCCAAGACAAATAGTTTCATTGTGAAACTTTTACAATTTTTATATAAAACTCAATGGAATTTGTTGCTATTCTTTTTTCGGATCAGGTATCAATAATTTCAATCTGGAGATATTCTAAGTAAAAAATTATTCATATTCGGTGACGATAACATCTCACCAAATAAAACCTCATACAAAAACTTCTCCAATTCCAGCATTTCATGTGCACTGTGCTGCACCTTCTTTATATTACGCGAATTATTGACATGTTTGTATTTAGATTTTTTGTGAGATGTTTTTGGCTGAAATATTATTGTCAAAGTTAATAATCCTGAGATAAGAAATGGGTAGCCTTCATTTTCTTAGCACCATTGGAAGGGTTCACAATAATTCCAATATCGAAGAAAATTCCTTTCCGTTATTTAAGAATATATTCAATCACTGCAGCAATTCATTACTGTATGAAGACAGTAACAGTTGAATATTCATTTTGAAAAGGAATGTCTTAATTCTACTACAGATAAATATTTTGCTTTGCTGTGGAAGTCACTAGTGTTCCTACTAATGAGCATTGATTAATTTGTTTGTTTAGATTACTTTTGGACATCAAAATTTCACCATATTACTAATTCCAATAAAAGGGATAAAGTACTATTTGTTATTTCAAAAAACACACTTCAATGTGAGATTTCCACTTGAAAAGTTTACAAATCAGTTTTTACCGGTTTTTAAATTTTCAAGTAGAAATTTTACATTCCAGTGTTTTTTGAATACTTTATAATGCATATTCATCATGTATCCGTCAGTTCTATCATATTTTTACTATTTGCATGTTTTTTGTCTTTTTTTATATACGATAAATTGGTTTATCAATACAAAATCTATGTCACATTCATTTCAATTTCATCAGAAAATATGAATCGTCTCCAAGTGAACTGAAAAACCTTTTCATGAATTCATCACCTTATTCCAATTTAATTGAGAAACAAGGTTCTGTTTTGTAAAAAAAATCTAGGGAATTCCCTTATCCCACTAGGCTTTTTTATATTATAGGTAGTTCCCTAGATTTTTTTAGAGTAATTCTCTTGCAAGTACCCAAACATTTTTAGTCAGCAAACCAAATAAACATAATGGTAGAAAATTTAGATGTAAAGCATAATAATCGATAAGAATGAATATAAATCATATACTTACTCCTTCCAAACAAAAGGTAATCGAACAAATCGAAATGAAACTAAAAATTAAAATAAAAAAATTTATTATGTGCATTACCTACAGAAATAAAAATTTGGCGACTTCATAAAACTAAAATGTAATATGCAATTCAGTAACAAGTTTTTGCAAACTACAAAGTCTTTTAGTATCTCTTAGCACCTTTTCTCTCCAGCAATTCTTTGTAAAAACTTTTTACAGAAATGCCAAATTAATGAAATCAAACAATTTTACAACCAAAAAATATTCATCAAGTCTATTGCAACCTGTCATTTCATTGTAGAAGATACACATATCGATATAAGAGTGAGTTTTAGTTAGTGATAACTATAATTATTATCGAACTAATGTATCAATAATATATTCATTAATAATAACAGAAAAATCTCTGGGAGAAAAAATATAAATGTATCTATGAAATTCATATTTATTCTTTAATGAAATTATTAATGAATAAAGTTGATTAAAAGTATGCCTATATTTTTGTACGATATGGAAAAAATACTAAAGTTTTACCAAAACCTCTACAAAAAAGTTAGATTAGGTAAGTACTTCAACAAAATGATTTATTCACTATGTGAATATATATGTCATATAACACGTAACTAGAATTTGTTGAAAACGCCCCTCGCTCGTGGACGAAAATAACAAAAGACGCCCCTCCCTCGCGGACGAAAATAACATAAAACGCCCCACCCTCGCGGACGAAGATATAAACAAATATAAATCTTCATTTCGAAACGCGTGACTCTAGTACTTGTTAACGCCCCTCCCCTCGCGGACGACAGAAATGTTATACGGTAAACAAAATAATATTTCATGAAAATCTCTCTGGATTTCATTTAAACGCGTGACTCTAAGTTATTGGCAAACGCCCCTCCCTCGCGGACGATACGAAAATATTACGCGATAAACTCAAGGCAGGTGCACTCAAGCTTTCCCACCCATTTCTTTTTTCCCCATTTAATTTATATTTAATTCATACCCCATATAAATCATGAAGTTTGACTTTTAAAGGCTCTGGGAACTGGGAGTGAAAGTGTCTCCAGTTCTCGTCTCCACACTGTTGCTTGAAGGAAAGCAACACACTTCTAATCATCTGCTTCAGATCAACTCTAATGTTGATCCAAGAAGCAGCGGCATCACAAAAGAAAATGAAATAATTTTTATTAAATTCCGGATGGCGAACAATTACTTCGCTCAAGCCACGGAAAGCCAAGTCTTTCTCGTCAGAGTCCCGCACGTTTCTGACCAACATGCAGCAATTCTTGACTATTACGTCCATATCAGAAACGGTTACATCTGGGCACACAAAGAATACAATACATAGTGAGATTGCTACAGTTTTGTGCATTGTTCGTGCAACTGCTGGGGTACGTAATATGTGAACAAAAGCATTCAATATTTCAGGAAGAAATGGTTGAATTGCGTTGCCCATCACTGAACACAACTTTCCAATAACCCATGCAGCATTGTTGCAGACACCATCAGTGTGCTCGTCCAAATTCTTAATGATCAGGGGTATGTACTCATTTACATTAGGTGCCAAAAAGGCATAGCACAAACCTATGAGCTCGCCATACAAAGCAATAGAAGTCTGTCGAATTAGATTAGAACTATCTTGCATAGTTGTATAGAGTAGATAAATTAAATTGCTATTAGTAACATATTTAACAAAATGGGTTTTCAGCCCCAAAGCCATACTGTAAAGAACATCATGAGCCACATTCATAGGTTCTTTGTCTGGAGGATCATATTCATTTGGGTTTTGCTGGTAATTGACAGAAGCGATAAGGGTATCATTAATTAGCTGCAAACAATGCCAATAAACTATTTCGGAAAAAGGTAAAAATGATACTTCTAAAGCAGGGATCACATTAGATAGACATTCCAGTACAGCAATAAAGTGATCATCATAGAAATTTTTCAGTTCTGTGAACTTATTCATCAGTGGTGGTAATAATTTACTGACATATTCATCTTTACTCAAATGGTTTCCTACTGATTGTGCTAAAACACCAATTGCATCGTAGAGTAAGTATAAGCTTCGGCAATGAAACTGTTCAAAACCATATTTGAAACCTTCTAATATGAAATCTATGTAAGGAATGAGTTTCAGTTGTGCTTCTTCTTGGAATATGCAGAATGCTGAAATAGCAGCTCTCTGTACACGTTTATTCTCATCAATAAAATGTTTCAACAAAATTGTCATGACTGGTACAAAATACTCTTCAGGATTTTCAGCTCTGACGTTAACAATCCACGATACATACCGACTCAAGGTCCAACATGTGATTACTCTAACAACAGAATGTTCATCGTTCATGCAAGAAATCAAGAATTGGATCAATTCAGGCAATTCAGACTTTAATCCGTTGAAACACCCCTCTGCTATTGCACCTAAAGCTAGTATAGCAGATTCTTTGACTAAATGATCTGGATTTTGTAACATTTCACTAATGAGAGGAATGAGCAACGGTAATATTTCATCTCCAAACTTTACCGCAATGGAGTCTAGAGATGCAGCACTACACTTTCTCAATGTCCAACCTACATAAAAATCATCAAAATCATCAGTCTGCTCTTCAGTTTCATCATCGCTGTAATATTCTTCACCTTCGGCAGCATTATTTCTGTCCCGAAAATGAAAAGGGGAAATATCTTTGGACAAATCTTTCTTATTTGCATCTGAGCCAAGGCTATCCTTGATCATGTTCAGTTCACTAACAGAGTACTGCATATTCTTTAGAAGAGTCGGAAGAAGTTTTTCAATGTATGGCGCCAAAATATCTTTACAGCTGTTGATTTTCGTAGAAGCCAACCAGAATTCACAAGCCTGCAAAGCAACGTCCTGATCCTCGTGATGACATTTCTCTAATAGATAGCAAATTATATTATGTAAATGAGGTAGCAATGATTCCTCGTGATTTTCAATGTAAATAACAAAAGTGTGACAAACATTTTTCTGTAATTCAACATCGTCCGTGTTTGCCAACTGTATCACATGTCTCAAGTAAATTCCCAAGTCGATAGACTGTTTCATAACCAGAAAATAGTCTTGTAAAAATTGATTTGTAAGCCGCACTATATTTTGACGAACGGAACACTTTTCGACACCAACAAATTCAACAAATTTTGGAAATACTTCTTTGGTTATTTTGTAAATTTCCTCTTGGGGTTTCTGACTATTGATCAATTCTTCACAAACTTTAAATAACGTCGTAAGAGCTATTTCACTATATTCATCTTGAGCGACAAACCCATTCGTCAAAAAAGGTACCAGTTCTGGCCAAGTTTTCAGGTTGTCTTTAGCAATAATAACAATTATATTGCTGATGCTGGTTCGCACTTCACGAGAAGGATCTTTCAATAGGCGAAGACATTCGTTTTTAATTTTCTGTGTACTATCCAAGCTCAAATTACTATAAGTAATTTGAATGTTATTTTTCAACAATATTCCGCTCAAGGACCGGATATCTTCGGTAAATCCAGAATTTCCCAAGATGAATAACAAATAGTTGGGGAAATCTGTCAAATTTTGCATAAGGATAAGTCTGTCCTGCACAGTTTTTTGGGCATCGCTGTTTGGAACTAGTGCTAACTGAAGGGTTTCTTCGATGTTCTTTATAATACTTTCCTGGGGTCTCCAATCGCCCAAATTCATGGTGAGGTCATATAATCTAGAAAAAACAAAGGTTAGGTGAACAAGCTTTTCACCATTTCTGTCTATTCTTGTCGATATGCTTTTACATGCGAGAGTAAATCTAAACGATATTTCTTACTTACATTACAACACTGATGAACTAGACAGATTATAAATGATTACTTCAAATGCGTATTTTTGTCAGCTTTCCAATGCCAAATTGATGACAAACTGAAGAACGATAGGCGACGGTAAATCGACTGAAATGATATCTAATAACCGGCATTGAGAAACGAAACACAGAACAAAAGCATTGGCTCAGGGTTGCCACACAATGTTGCCGACTCTTTACAGAAGAGACACTCGGCACGAAACAGGAAACATGAAATTTTTGAGAATCTAGAGGGGACAAACTGGAAAAAGACACTTTCGAAACAACTACTTCCAAAACCTAATTAACACTTAATTTTTCCTGGTCACTTTACACTCCAAATATTCGTTATGGAATTGAAAGATATTCACAGGAATGCTAAGAAACGTAATATATGAAAAAGTATCAATATAAAATTTCACCTACACGGAAATTTATCATCTCTTAATTATATAATTATATATAGGTACCTGTATGAATTGATTTTGTAGTTCCTTTTTCCGTCTTAATTATAAGAATGTAGTGACTAAAATGATTCAAATATATACATGTATTAATACTTTTATACTGAATATAATAACCTTTTTTTTGTTCATGTCAGAACAAAAGTACACACTTTTATTTCATGAAAACGTACCCTGGTTTATGTACATTTTATGTTGATGAGACATTTTCTTGTAAAAATGTTTGAAAATTTACCTTTCATGTATTTCTAGTGATGCAAAAAGTTTGATACTGCCTTCTTGAGAGCAAAATGTAAGAAGTTCCCTTATTAATACATTCATTCTGGCATTGAAACGATGACGTCACATCAACTAATATTTGAAACGTATTCATGATGAATCAAAACTAGCGTGAGGTTGGTTTTGAAACAGAATTGGACGTTATGTTACGTCAGCTGTCAGTTTCTGCTTTATTCTGATCGTTATAGTTTATCAAATGCTCAAATCTTTTATCAAATACGTTGTAAGGATGTACAAAATGAAGCTGTGTGCACAAATTCGATGTTATTTGAGTTTAGAGAAAACTGAAGACTTTGTTTTTATTATTGAATTTGACATCTGACACAAATTGAATAATTTCATTCGAATCTTATTATTAATGACGTCACTACGAATCGTTTTTAAATAGACGCTCGAATACGAATACGATTACACGCCAGAAAACACCTATAGTAACCCTGAGTATCCGATGCTTTCTAGGAGTGGGTTCGGTTATCAACTCCAGTAAATCTTTGTACTCCTTAATCGTTCGAATTTCAGAAACGGAGTAAAAGGATTACAATTTGTGGCTTGCAGTATTTCAAGAGTAGAGTGAAATTAGTTACTCCTTCGGGACCGTCGCGGGACTATAGATTTTTGGGAGTGGACATGCGCATTTGCAATTGTTTTGGTGTATTTTACATTTTTACACGCATGCATTACAGCATTTGTGATTGTTGCTTGTAAGATAATCATTAATAATGATATATCCAAAACAATCACCAGAAATGCAATACTTTTCCCGATGCGCGACCATTATTGGTGATTGGGAAAAGTGCTTGTTTTGGATTTATTCTACACCAGAGGTTCCAGTTTAACCTTCTATCAATAGTAAAATGAGCATTACTGTTCTATTGCTGAAAAAATAACAGATAATATATCTCTACAAGTTGACGCATTAGCTCACTGTCAAGGTCCTTTTAATAGCTGATTCTCTAGTACTCCACGATACCGATTTAACTGAACTGAGAAATACTATAACTTTCACAAATATTTGAAAATCTACCAGATAATACACTTGATATCCTGGTTCATCTAAAACTTTTCACAATATGAAAACATATCTGTTGTAATTCACCTGCATAAGGGTGGTGACCGTGAAGATCCATCCAACTTTCCGTTTCTGAGAGATTACAAAATAAGCTAATACGGATGATTGTACTCCCTGGTTCGTGCGGAACGAAGCTATCCGCATAGATTTGCAGCTGCCTTCCATTCAGCAGTCCATTCAGTCGAGGAATCTGCGAGTTTTTGATTGCGCAGAAACTCACGACAATCCGTTAGTTAGGGAAGCTATAGATTATGCTGTAGACGATCCCTCCCGATATAGAAGGCCCCGACACTCTGTCGAATGAGGCCCTCATGTCCCCCGTTAACAGATGAACAATTTTTCATCCATCTCACCCCAGCCATGTAGGGGTACACCGTGAAGGGCGGCACCGATGTCTAAGGACATTTATGTCGCCATCCCATCATCAGTTATGACACATTTGTCCTTCTGACAAACGCCAGTTGAAAGGGTAAGGGAGCCAGGCTCCAACTATAGACCTATCACTCTCATTCCTACATTAACAAAAATTATTTCGAATCTGGTGAAGATTAGATTATCTACATTCTTGTGTCGATGTTCTGTGATTTATCAAAGGCGTTCGACTGTGTGAACCACATAATACTGTTGTGAAAGCTTTATCAATATGGAGCTAGGGGTATCTCTCAGGAATGGTTTGAATCATATCTCTCAGGTCAAAAACAAGTTATTAAAACTACAAAATACTCCGAGGAGTTACCTGGAGAAAGTGGTGTGCCTCAGGGGTCAATACTCGGACCAACTCTCTTCCTACTTTACATAAATGACTTGGCCGGAATAAATATTTCAGGAAAAATAACGCTGTTTGCGGACGATACGAGTATACTCTGCAATAATAAAGTTTCCGAAACACTTCTTGAAATTAGCAGGGATATGTACGAGTTTAAAAGATGGTGCGACTCAAACCAGTTATCCATTAATATGGCAAAAACTAATAGTATGTCTTTCAAAAGTGAATTAGATGCGCTTGTTATGGGTGAGGATGTTATAGGAAATACTAATTATACAAGATTTCTAGGTCTTCATATTAATTGCAAACTGAAGTTCGATGAACATTTTTCAAATTTAAAAAAAAATGTCCTCTGGATGTTATGCAGTAAGAGTAACATCGAATGAACATGGTCTTTCTTCCGCCAAAGTTTTGTACCATTCCTTAATAGAAACCCATTGGATATATGGAATCCCATTCTGGGAGGTGTGTAATATTAATCTCATAGACTCTATTTTGTACTACAAAAACGTGCAGTAAAATACATGTGCAAAGCAAGAATTTGAGATTCTTATAAACATTTTTTTGTTATTCACGAAAAATTAACAGTATTCGCAATTTTTTTTATGGAAATGGTATGTCGAATTAAAAAACATATTCACAAATTTGACACTACACACGTCCCAATATCCGTCAAGCTGATAACATTAAACTCCCGATCACTGACACTAATTAGATTTAGTAATTTATGGAGGCTGTAAAATGTTCAACTTACCAAAACACATTGAAAGTAAGTTCCGTAGAACATTTCAGAACGGGAGTAAAAGCTCTCCTGTTGGATAAACCCTATTATAGTTTACAAGAATGTTATAATGACGCATTCTAACTCAAGCTTGTTTTAATATGTTGTAAGATGTTTCTCATGTGCTGGATTTTATAAATTTTTGTAGGTATGAGACATTCTAGTACAATGTCGGTGTCGACTTATTGTCCCATTTGTTCTTTCTGTGTGTGTATTTTACTTTACCTTAATTTAAGATTATTTTAGGCGTCTACTTTGTCAACAAGATTATGTATCCTTGAACAATAGAGCATAGTCTCCTTCTAAAAATAATGAATTATGGCATTAGACAAAGTTAGTAACAGTAACTGTTTGTGATTTCGTGTTTTTAGGCCATAGTCTTATCAGTAGGGTACCTCCGAGGTCGGGAAAAAAATTTTAACAGACGACGGCTTACAAAGCTGAAACATTTCAGTAACAGCAGTTTCACATCGTCTCCGAATTTTTAAAAGTTGTTTCAGACAATAAAGCTGAAATCATACAAAATAAAATGTGTTCGAGCTTCTGAACTAGAACTAAGCAAAAGTAACCACAGGCATGTATTGGTTTAATTTTCTCTTGATATTGAAAAACAATTCGATTCATACATAACCTCAGCTTAATATTTTTGCAGGCAAAAATATACTCCCAGTCTTTGTTCCTCTATTGGTCCTTTTGGTACTCTTAGAATGTTCACTCCACTTCAGTCTCATAACAATTATCCGAACGTAGCTTAAGGATTGTTATTATTATTGAAAATTCATCAATACTGGAGTCAAATACGAAACGGACTGGTTTAAGTTTGACGATAGTCGTGTCACTAAGTGTTCTGGCGATGCGTTGAATTTAGTGGAGCCTCTGGAGACACCCTACATTTTGTTTTATGAGAGAGAGTATATTGACAGATCAAGATCTTCATATGATGTGGTGCTGCAGGTTTTTCCGGGTTTTCCTGCAGCTGAAAAAGCAAATGCGCCACTGGAATCAATGAAGTCGCCCCGGAGCGCCAATTGATTTTTATTGTTTTATAATTTCATGATTTGTATTTTAGAATTAATAATTAAGATTATCGAGTTTTTTTTAATGTTTTTAAAATTGCCACGAGTGTCAGATGTGTTTAGGGGAAGTCATCCCAACTCAAGTGCAATTAGAGTCCAAATTGTAGGCCATTTTCTAATTTGAATATTTTTAAGAAAAAAGAGTTTAGACAAATTTCTCCAACTGTATCTGACGACCACATCAATTATTTGAAAGAATAAAAAAATACATGCTTGTTCCTATTATTTGTACTGATTTGGCATTAAATGGCTGTGTCATTTGTCAGGGGATTTCCGCCCTGAGTAACACTGAGTAGAGTGAAACAGAATGTTAGTTAAAAGTGACCATAAGTACTAACTTATTCCAAGGGTGAAACTGTTGTTTATTTTTTTCAAATAACGGTGAAGCAGACTTTGAATACACAATTCGCCAATTACTTACTGTATGAACTATGCTAAAAAAAGATGTTACTAACATCAGAAATAAAAAAAACTGTAGATTAGGAGGTCCAAATTGAAAACTGATTCGATTTACAGAAAACTGTTATATGTTTAGAATCCTTTACAATATTTTGTATAATATGTATTTATTCAAATTTCCAAGTTTTTTTCGAGATGTTAGGGTACCTGACTTAACTGACTCTGTGATATTCCCAATAGATCATATTGTTTTTTTTTAGTTCGCTACTCTGATTGTGTTTCATTAGTGTCAGTATTGATTTTTCACGACGTTAATTCAACTGATTATTCAAAAATCTAATTAGAAAATAGATACAATAGAAACACCAAATAAAACTCTGATACAGACAATGTAAACATCAACTACAAAGTAGGCAACTCAGAAACAATACATGTTCTAGGTACGTGTGGCAGATACCCAACGGAAAAACAACAACTAACCCAGCTAATGCCGCGCAGAGAGTTGAAGTAAGACCGTCAGGCACCTGTGCAACATCTTCGATTTGGAAGATTCGTCACAAGTTTTTTTCCACTATGAACAGCAGAAATTAATTTCATTTGGTCGATGCGACCAACCGATAGACCGGTTCCGGGGTACTTGCCCCCATTACCAGTCCCGGGCATGGTCTCTTCAGATCGGTGTGACTGGTGGGAAATAACTTGCGACAAATCTTCCAAATCGAAGACATTGCACAGATGCCTGATGGTTTTACTTCAACTCTCTGCGTGGTATTAGCTGGGTTAGTTGTTGTTTTTCCTTTGGGTATCTGCCACACGTCCCTATAAAGTCGTAGGTCTATATGAGAGGCAAGGCGTAAGATGTTTTCAACTGAACCTGGAGCATGTCATATGCACCTCTCCAGAATATTAACCATCACATGAAAGAAAGTAGAAACATTTTTAGAATGGAAAAATGAACTCCATTTATGTTATTTTCTTCCTTACAGAGGAATATGAGTTCAATCATGAACCTAGGAGTGATTTATCGTTCCTGCTTGAGGAAGCTATTGCATAGTGAAGTTATTCATAATCAGGTATGGATCGAAGATAAACCCAACACATTGGTGATTTCAAGAGATGAGTCAAACTCATTGACACACCTAGCCAGTTGACTGACTTAAAAACTAAATTTACCACTGTACAAATGAAGTGAATATATACAAGATATCCACTCGACATTTCTTGGAATTCAACCCCTAAAATATATTTTTCCATTCTTGATAAAATATTCATTGCTCAGTGAGAAATGTTAGGCACTTACTAAAATTAACATTCCAAGTCATGCTCAATTTCAATAATTTTATTATTCATGGAAAATTATTTCGAATAAAAATGTTTTCATTGATATTGTTTCTTATTTATAATTAACACTCTAAAAGTAATCTCGTATACACATATTCAAGATTGGCTAATGGCTAAGTCAAGAGCTAAATACATAAATCTGAATGTGAAATAGGAGTCTGATTCACGAATAATTTGACATGAGGAACATTTTGTGTGTGCAGAATTGTTATTTATTCATGAGACAATGTTGCAGATGAAATGTTCTCACTTAACGAGAGTTTTATATGTTTATCTCGCTTGATAAAAAAAAAGACGAAAACGCAAAAAAACATGTGAGATCTATAGGAATTATGGGGTTTTCAAGAAAAATATCTATGAAGCTATTAGCAGTTTCCGAATCTGGATATAATAAACAGGCAAGACAGTATAATCATAAATTTGTCAAGTTTACTTCTCACTAATTTTACATTATTTTCGACAAATTCGATAATGAATTGCTTCTGTATTAGATATAAATAGGCAAAGTTAGAACTTAGTTGGTGAAACACGCATCAAAAAGAGTGTTGTAGTTCTGGTATACTGGAACAATGTTTGTGTTAAATTTAAAAATGAAGCTGCTAATGGTAGGCAAATAAAAATCTATATTTTTCTCTAGTCACATATTGCCATTTTCTCTCCATGTATTTGAAATCAAATCCATAACCTCCCAAAAATTTATTTTAGCCTTGGGGAGTCATGAAGTATATATGTTACAATGTGCCTCCCAGTTATTTTACCTAGGGTAGGATTTATATGTAAAGCAGGATGATCAGTGTTCTGGATTGTTTGTCATTAACATATGAGATGAGATATCTCATATAAATGTGGATAACCAGTCAAGAATAACAAATAATAAAGTATCTTCCATTGATAAGGCACAGGTGAAAATATTCAGGTGTATTTGTATCTTTGGAATTAATGAAAAGGTGAAATGGTGGTAGTAATAAATTTTTTAGGAAGGCTCTTGTACAAAGTTATTATAAGTACTAAATAATTTCGTAAAATCTCATGAAATATATAGCAATAACCATATTCTACTGAAAAGGTGGATTACTATTAAAACTGAGCTAACAAATCAGGTAATTCAAAAAATTATCATAATCACAGCAGCATTATTTTGTAAGAAAAAAATAAAACAAATATGTCCTTGGGTGTTTGTTTGTTTTAATCATAACATCATTAGTCGCTTCACAGAATTTTCAAGCTGTCTTCCGGGAAGAGTTGTACAGGAAGTGGTGAGAATAAAGTTGTGCCTTTCAATTTGTCAGATAATAGGCCTATAAAATACATAGATAGTGTGTTTATCTTACTTTTGCGTCAGATACTGAGTGGTCCAGTCGATTATTCCTCCGACAACCTCTATATTGACCAACTTATAACTAGCCAACTTAACAGGTAACTGGTCATTGGGGTTAACAGTTTGAGCAAAGTTTTCGAAGAACTCCCGGTAAAATGTCAAATAATCGTCTTTATTAGCCATATCGCGACAATTTCTTAAAAACTATTCACTTATCACAGTTTATTCTATCAAATAAACCAAGAGTTTTAAAACTCAACAATCAACTTTTGCTGTCCTGATATGTATAATTGCACTAGTTTATTTTTTCGAATTTACATAAAATTTTATTTATTGTTTTGATTTTAAACACTGATTATAAACATCAAACGTTCATTAAACTTCCCGCAAATGAGTCAGTAAGCTGGACAAACCCCACAAAAATCATAAAATAATAACATTGAAAATTTGACAGTATGACAATTGAAGCGTTTGTTTATGTCACAATACCAACTTTGATACCAACCCACTAATAAAGCACTGAAGTACAGAACTTATATTTAAACGAACCCGATAATGTGAATGTTTATCATTATTTCACAACAAAAGTTGACGAATATCGAAAGTAAATTTCGGTGCCATTTTTCAAATTTATATTAGAAGTTTGTGTACGCCGCAACTAGTGTACTCAAATAAACGTTATATTGTACAAATATTGAATATTTTTTACATTTTATTTCACAATTTACATTAAATTAGACAGCAAATCTCCAGTTGATGATGTAGATGAATGATTTGTGTTATCAAGCAGGATGGTTTGGGTTTTGCAAACATATTCAACTTTCTTGAACATTATTTGGTGAGAAAACATCGAAAACGAGCCCTATATTGTTATAATTATCATATTATATTGAGTTTTGATAAACCAAATAGTTTTTGGGAATTTGTCGGAATGAAATTATGAATCTGAAGAGATGAAATTCTTTTCAGATTCTTTAGTTTCCCACCTACATAAACGCCAATACTTATATCATGTAAACGAATATTATAATGGATAATTGTAACAACTAATATTTGAATGTTGGCGGGTTCCTCATGGCAATAATCAATATTTTTCCTTGAGTTTGATGGTCGAATTATTAAACTTAGATGTCACTCACTCCGTATTTTCTAATACTTTTTTTGTTTTGTGAGGAAATTAGTATCTTATTTTCTCAAGAATACATATTTAATATTGTATTTCATATTAAACCATATTTTATGAAAAGAATAATTCGGCTCCTTCATAACGAATTTCTGAATACGGTACTAACATGATCTGTACCGTGCCAAATTTGTTAGTTTAATTATATTGTAAATGAATCGTGATTTAATATCATGACACATACGGCGTTCAAATTATTTTTTAATGTCTTAACGCTATATTCACAGGGAATTTTTTATTACATTGAATTGGGGTGGAACTGAAAGCTTTTAATAAGAAAATATATTTTACCTATTTTACATTTAAACTTCTTTACTTATGTCATACTATTACAAATAAACAGTAGTTACAGAACGTACTCCTTTATCCTCTATTAGTGATCAGTTATTAATTTTTTATTCTGGATCCAAACTTGTTAGGGGCTGAAGAGATAAGTAAGTGTACTTTGGTTTTTGAATCGGTGTCATTTTCTTTAATCCAAGTTAAAGGTGAATAGAAAATTGATTCCTTTAGAATTTGTTATATTTTCGTTGAATGAACTACCTACCACCTTACAAATCTCCCAAAAATCGTGAAATTGATATAAATATGAATGGGAAAGCATATTTAATAAATACCATGAATAATTGATTCTGTATAGTTGCTACGTTACTTAGGCAGTTTTGCAATGTAAACAAAAACATTTCTAATATTTGTATTAGGAGTGTTGAAGTGGAATATTGTAGTGTTTGAATAAGGCAGTCTTCTATGGCACCAACAGATACTTCTTCTGTAGAAGCTAAAAATACTATAGTATTCAATGCTTCGAAACAAGAAATGTTCAAGCTGAATGAAAACTTCAAAATACTTCACAGAAAGCTCAAACTTTTTTCAAAAATTGTGGTTAATAAAGAAGAAATATCACCACAAGTTCTACAGAGCTGCATGATTATCATTCTGGGAGGATCCCAGTTACCCTTTGAAGAAAATGAAATTAATTGTCTTAAAGATTTCATTAATAATGGTGGAAGAGTGTTTGTTTTGTTGACAGAGAGCAGAAAAGATGAATTATGTAATATTAATATTCTGTTAGAGAGCTTCGGAATTGTTCCCAACATTGATTGTGTTATTCGTACACATTATTATAAGTACTTTCATCCAAAGGAATGTTATGTGTCGGACAGCCAGATAAACTCGACGCTCAATAAAGATAAATTAGATTTAAATTTTATATACCCTTTCGGTTGCACACTGAGTGTTAGCAAACCCAGCGTAGTTGCTTTTACCAGTGGGTCCGCTTCATTTCCTGTAGATAGATCGATAGCAGCGTTATACTATGATGAGAAATCTGGTGGAAGATTGGTTGCCGTGGGGTCTGGATATATGTTTTCTGACAAATACATAGATCAAGAATGTAACGATAAGTTAAGAGAAATGTTAATGGATTTCATGGTTGGCCAAGAACACATTTATTTTGCTCCAACAGATCATGATGATATTGAGTCAACAGACCATAATATAGTTCCAGATACTGCCGAGTTAGCTGAAAAACCCAAGCTCTGTCTGACAGATGCTATTAGTCACAGTGGTTATCTTGATTACACTAAGCTATTCGATCATAAAGTATATTCGATGAACACCAACCTTGTGCCAGAAGCCTTGAAATTATATAAAGAGCTAGGGGTTAATCACGAGTCTTTGAAAATTATCACCCCAAAATTTGAAGCACCATATCCTCCTCTACAGCCTGCCGTTTTTCCTCCATCATTTAGAGATTTATCTCCACCACCTCTGGAACTTTTTGATTTGGATGATGCATTCAGCTCTGTATTTTCTAACCTGGCACAGTTTACTAACAAATGTTTGATGAATAATGAAAATGATGATGAGCATCATCTTGAATTTTATATAACAGAATGTTCGAAGATTTTAAACATTGAAGAAAGTAGAAGCCCAAGTGATGTTCTTCATGAAATTGGAAATGAAATTTCAAAATTTAAAAGCATAGAGACTATTAAACTATAGAATCATGTCATGGTTTGTTATACAACAAGTGAAAAAATTTAGATATTTTTATTTGAGTTTTAATTGAATATTCCTATTTGAAAATGCAATTACATTACTGTACAATATGGTACATTCATGTCGAATGATGGTGGTATTTCCCCCTTCATTTCTTTGGATTTGACATTTAAATATGTATATTCATACTCTTTTTGCAAATATTCGGGCAGTGGTTTGTTCCAATCTTCGGGTGGTGCTTTTCGTTTTTCCCAAACATCATTCATATAATGTGGTAGTAACCTTTCTTTTCTTCTATTTTTTTCACTTTCTATCAATTCATTCTACAAATTTGCGATAATTATTAAGGAAATGAATAATCAAAATTATTTCTTACAGCTGCTTTCAAATCTTGGTTATCTTTCCATTTGTAACAATTTATGGAATCCTTTTTCCACTGTGTACAATCTAAAGTTTTTCCAAAAATGAAGTATTGGTTAAATCTTGCTTTAAAAGAAGTACAATCACTGTATTCATCATCATAAACGGCACATCTTCGAATCTTCAAAATCATTAGTCAGTCTACTTCAAATCATGGATTCATGAATACCCACCATCCATTCATCTTCCACTTTTTCAGCTGGTTGTGCTATATCTTGTTCTTCAACTGATTCGTTTTCTTTTTTTGAATTATAATTTGTTTCGGTATTGGAGTTTGCCATGTTCAAGTACAAATATTACATAAACATTTACGTTGATTTGGTATTTTAAAGGTTATGTTCATAAATTTATCGCGCTAATAATTGTCTAGTAGGAAATGAAAAATGTTTTCCAGGTCTGAGCCTAAGTTTTTCTTTGTTGATTTGCGAATAATTAAGGTGAGTTTGCTACCAATTATTTAGCGTGTTTTTAAAATTGAAAATGAAACTTTTGGCGAAACACTTAACGTTTAGATTTTTGGTGTTCCGTGTTGGAACAAAAACCACTCGATATTTTACTTTATTTTTGGAATAAAATTCAAATAAATGATCACATTTCACTTTTTAAAAGAGAACTTTTTATTTTAAATTATTGAGTACATTTGCCTTCGAAAATATTATGTACTTTTAAATGTTAGATCAAGATCTTCAGATGATGTGGTGCTGCAGGTTTTTCCGAATTTTCCTGCAGCTGAAAAAGCAAATGCGTCACTGGAATCAATGAAGTCGCCCCGGAGAACCAATTAATTTCTATTGTTTTTATTTTATTTTTATCGTTGTTTTAATAAAATTGACTATATAATATAAAAATACCTTATATTCATTTACTTATTCTAGCGTTCAGTAAAGTTCATTAGTTGCAGTGTACCGAAATTCTGAATAAAAATTAAGAAAATGACATTGAAATTGAACCCCAATGAACATTTGCATGGGGTAGCCAACTGTTCAACACTCAGAGTAACAAAAGACAATAGAGATGTCTTTTCCATCCTTATATTGAAGGCAGCATAACTTTGTTTGTTTACGGGAAAAGTTGGACCATAAAACAGTGGCGGTTGGTTTATTTGATAATCGGAGGGATATTATATATTTATAAAATAAATCATTTCAAGTAAAAATGTATTCTGTTCAAATAACTCTACAGGAAATCTGATTTATTATTAATGATTATGAATATGGGACCAGTTTTTCTACCATCTACTAGATTTTTATTTGTGTATGGCTTTATAATAAAGCGCATGATTTACTGGGTTAAAATTAAATGATTTCAAATGAACTAATTTATAACAATTATAAATGTTAATTTCAAAAGTAATGAACTTTGCTTCATTATCAATCGTCTGTCAGCTCTTATGCCAAATATAATCAAATGTGTTGGCAAGGATGATAGTAAGGATTAATTCGTTGAAATATTTTCCCAGATGGTGGATGTTAAGGCTCCGGTTGTTATAACAACGAATGTTATATTATCTTGATAAGTTCTTGAAAACGTGTTGATTATTCAGTAAAAAAGTAGGAAACTAATAACACATTATCTACAAGTGCGGAAGAAATATTTTTTCTTGTTACAAAATTATTACATGTTTTACCTACGTCGAAATGGTCTTCACAAATTAAATATTGATAACCATTTGGAATCATGATGTGCCGCTTCGAACCAAGTTATTCGTTTATTATATTAATGAGGCACACGGTGGTTCTCTTGCAATAATACAACACGGGCGGTAGCCAGTTGGTTCGACGTGGGTGGTTTGTTCACTCATTCAAATCGATCGCCGAGTTGATCGGTGGTTCAAACCGCAGGCTAAACGACCGATTTTCACTTGCTATCGTCCAACCCGTGTTAGGAATCACACGTTGAAAGGTAAGACCTTGTTAGTCCTTAGCTCGCACAAGTTTCGACTTCTGAAAGTTGTTGTTCGTAGGGGTGCAACCGCTGATTAACGAAAAAACATATTTTAAACATATATTTATTAGTAAATTGGTTTTTATTAATTAATCTCTTCACAGAAACAACAAAATACACAGCTTCAATTTCATCCAATGTCTTAAATCCCAAAATCAAAATGGAGTGACAGACTTGACAGAAGTTCAAATTGGTACCAGTGTTGCCAAGCTGGTTGCAAATACAACCTAGATAAATTCGAGCCGTATGGTCACTTAGATTTTGAAGCTCGTTCAGCTTTGAATATATTCGAAAGTGTGAACCTCAGAGTGATATTTGTTACTCTGAGGTGTGAACGTGAACGCATCCGACGCATACATTCCTTTATAACGTCAAAAATATTTTGGCGCGTTTTTGGTCTGTTTGAATTTTTATCGTTTCTGTCACTTTTCAAAGTTGTATTCGGTAAATATGCTACATACGCGATAATCAGGTGTAAAAAGTTTTATTTGCCGATAAAAATATGTGCACGTGGACTATTGCGCCAAAGAAAAATATACCATAGGAAAGTTAATCGAACAAAAAAACTAAGTTGAGCGGAAATAAAGTACAACCAAAAACAAACGAGTTAGAATAAGAGATAAAAAATTCAAAATCGACGATGAAGAAGCATTTACCGAAGAACTGAATTGACATTTCAAACTATATGTACAATTCGACTCGATGCGAGCAAAAGTGGTTGAATATATGGTAGGTATATACCAATACAGAAGTTATGAAAATTAAGTGCAAAATTATTATTCTGACACCGTTATTGATACAGCTCCTTGTATTTGTATTTTTGTTTGGATGTTTTTTTTTTGATCATTTGAGTCTTCTATTTATGTTGCAAAGGTTTATGAGCATTGAAATGGGATCTCATTTCCCGACGTATGGGATAATGAGAGCGAATGATTTTTTTGCAAAATCTCTCTTCTTGAGAAAATGCAGAACTATAGTTGATTCAGAATGTGAATATTTGATACCAAAATGAGCAGAAAGCAATTAAAATTTTAAATTATGAAAATGTGATTTAATCGTCCGATACTTGATGAAAATCCATAACGTATTCAAGAAACATCTTATTGTGAGATTTTCACTACAGTTTTATAAAAAACGCAACATGTGTTTCGGTATACAATAACTTCTTCAGGCGTGTCTATGTCACTGCTTTCATTACAAATTTCGTCACTATCAGCTATCTAACTTCTAGAAAAATACTGACTTATTTCATTAGGATTCCATGTCATCAGGTATTGTATTTTTTTTTATTTTCCACAACCTTGAAGAGTAAAATAATTTTCAATGTTTTAGGTGCAAAGTTATTTTTGTTGACACCGAAAATTACTCAAAATTATACAGTAATGTAACAAGAACTTAATATTCAATAATATCAAATCACAAAACATAAAAATAAAATAGGTATTTCGGTAATTCTCCAAAATAATCTCCAGAAAATCAACGAGTTTGTTCCAAAATACCTATTTTATTTTGATGTTTCGTGATTTGATATTATTGAATATTATGTTTTTGTAACAATAATACAGTATAATTTTGAGTAATTTTCTATGTTAACAAAAAATAAAAAAAGCTTTTCATCAAAAAATTGACCGTGGTTAACACCATAGTTGTGTAATTCGTAATATTATAGGCCATGTTTATGGATAAAAATTAATCAAACATTTCTAAATATATAACAAAAAACTCTGAAAGTGTGTAAATGGACATGTAATTAACTAATTTTAATTTGTGCTATATATACTCATATGACCTCTTCCACCTACTTTTCCATCATTACGTTACTCACATTGTTTACTAATCATTCAAAGTGCTAAGCAGCAAAAAAAATCAAATATATATTTTTGGTGAACCGTTTGGCGAAGAGTTTCATAGTTATATAAATATAACGAATTCTTATTTTGTTCATGTGCCCTTTAAATATTGGAAGGTTTCTGAAATTAGTGTTTTCTCGTTAATATTTCACCCTGTAATAATAATTCCGTGACATATATCCTTATTTGAAGTGAATTAGTCACTGAAATATTCTGAGTAAACAAAGCAATATTATCCATTTTTATCTTGCGGCTTTCTTCGGAAATGACTAAAATATTCTATCGGTAAATCTATTATTATCGGTATTTACCTTCAACAGATAACGCATTCATCTTTTTCATTTCAGGTATTGTTAAAAACATTCAGCAATAGAAACGAGGAGGTAATTTTTAAATTTTCAAGGAAAGCAATATTTATATGGCTCATATGGAGGGAAAGTATACCAACGAAAAAAATGAAAATCTGGATGAATATTTCAAAGGATTGGGTAAGTTTTCCTTACATTTAGTACCATATATAAATATTTTGTTTCATGTTACGCAAAAATATCTCATCGTTTAAAATATATTATGTTAACTACAAAAATGAACCAAAATCAAGTTTATTTTATTTGCCTCACTTACTTAAGCTTGTTGTAGTATATGTGTTCAATCTTTGAATCCTGAATTTGTGCTTAAAAATAAAATATTCTCTGAACGGGTTGCAAATGAGTCTTTTCTGATAATCGGATGTCGTTCCCAATTGAAAAATAACCTTCAAAATTTGAAACTTGTCAGAGTTGAGGATTAACAAGATCTTATTTTTCAGTGTTACCTTTGCGAGTTCAGGATTAACGAGAACTTACCTTTTAATGTAAGATTCCTAGCACTATCCAGATGATGCGCAGTGAACACCTATCGAATATGTGCTCACACATATATTTTATTTTGAAACCGAAATCGTTTTTTTCAGGATTCCGGAATATTCCTATAACTTGCGAGTGGAAAAAAAAAAACGAAAAATATTTCATTACTTGAGGTGAATTCGACATCCAATTCACTACAACAAATCCTACAAGTGGTGAGATTCTTCTTAGTTCGAATATTATCCGTCTCCTTCGATTCCAAATAGTCATCTATGTAGAAAAGCTTTTTGATCGATGTCAGAACCATAGGTGGTATTTTGTTCAGCATTCAAATTATTCATGAACTGAGCAGAAAATGGAGACCAGGAGGCTCCTAAAGACATCACTTGCATTTCATAGGTATTCGCTGTTCACTTAAAATCAAGATTCCTACATAGTATACGCTGTGCTTATCTATCTTCTAGGCAGAATTCAGTTGGTGAATAAATACACATATGTCTCCGTAAAAACCAAATCTCCTTCAAGGAAACCTCAAGGGGTCGGCAATCAGAAGTTGCATATTATATTATGTATTATATTGATTGTCACTGTTAATTAATTAATAATAATGAATAACTCTTGATTGAAGGAGTGCCGTATATACCAAGAAAATTAATATGCTCCTCTCGACCCACGATGGAAATATCTAAAAACAATGATGAATGGACTATTAGTACTTCAACAATGTTTAGAACATCTTCTTCGAAATTCAAGTTTGGAGAAGAATATGAAGAAACTATGCCGGGAGGAACAATCAAGGTCAGTATAAATTGAGAGAATTGAAAACATTCATAAAAACTTTTTTGTTTGATGGGTCATGTGATCCAACACCAGATAGCATTATTTCGACCCACCGTGTCTCATCAGTGGTGCTAGCCTGAACCTTTGAACTGTCCTAAAAAAGACAAGCCTGTAAGTGTAGCCTGTAAGACAAGCCTATCCCCCTACGAAAATGCCATCTATGGAATCAACAGAAGACTCAGTCCTCGATTCTCAAAGATAAACGAGGCTTTTCAAGGAGGAGATTAGTCCTCTTTCACCAACTTTTTTTTTGTTTCATAAAAATAAACGAAAATATAGTCGAGAAAGAATTTTTCAAGGTCATCATACATTAAAAGTTACACTTGGTTTACGGTGAGGAATAATCCTTTTTATTATTTCAGATTTTCTTTAAATTTCATTTTTTTGAGGATTTTTCCACAATGCTTTAGCCCCTAGTATCGAAAATGGAATAATTAATCCCATATAAATCCCATTATTAAATACATTATTTCTTTTAACTTCAAATTTCAGTGGTTTCAAATTAGCAGCATGTCAGAGAAAAATGTCAGAAAAAAATAAGGTTATCAAATTGTATGAGAATAGTAAAAATACAAAACTTCATGGAAATGTAATGAACTCTATTCCGATTTCATTTTAATGAAAAAAGTAAAAAAATGTGAAATATATTTTTTTTTCTTTAGGAAAGAAACTTGTTGAGGGGAATAGAAGTTACTTTAATTGAAAAAGTCAAAAAATTGTGGAATACATAATTTTTTCTTTAGAAAAGTAAATTGTTGAGGGAAATACAAATAATTTTTTTTAAATCTCCCTTACATTTTTTGAAATTATTATAACACAGATTTGTGTCATGAAAGCACTTTTGTTGGAATTCCCTAGGATTACATTCCAAGCACCAACTGTCCGTAAGTAAAGACATATTTCACAAAATGTTAATAATATAAATTCTCATATGATGTGGCATTGTATACAGTGTCATCCCCAAAGTATGCACCATATGGGAACCTTATTTATTAAGGGTTTTTTGACCAAAAGCTATTCCTGATAAAAGTTTGTGCATCCCCTAGAACTGAACATGCACTAACAAAATACAGAAAACACACGTTATATACGAGGAGAGCCTTCAAATATATGATTTTGAGAAAAGAGAGTACCTTTATTTTGAAAAATTTTGGGAAATGTTATTTAAAAAAGTTGTTCAGCATTGAAAAATACATCTAGATTTGGAGTCATGGCCATCCAAGCGAAGTTTTATTTTTTTACCCATTTTTTTTAAATGGGCACTAGGAAAAAAATTTGCTGTAACGATAAATAGCCAGCATCCTGTATACGACGGTTTATTTCAAAAGCCTGTAATATTACGAATTACACAACTATGGTGTTAACCACGGTCAATTTATTTGAAGAGTAAAATAAGTTTTTGGTGCGAAGTTATTTCTATTTTTTGTTAACACTAAAAATTACTCAAAATCATACAGCAATGTAACAAGAACTTAATATTCAATAATATTAAATCACAAAACATAAAAATGAAATAGGTATTTGGGAACAAAGTTGTTGATTTTTTGAAGATTTTCTTGTCCAAAATAATTCCCCAAAATGAAGTCGTTGATTTTCTGGANTGGCATTCATAATATAATTTTTTACAGAATGTCACTCAAATGGAAGGAGACAACAAATTAATCACGAATTCAGTAGGACCTGGTGAAGTTCGATCTTCACGTAAATATGAATTCATTGGTGATGAATGTGTTATTGTGAGTACAAAATTATCATGGTACATTGTTGAGAAAAGTTATCATGCTAGAAAGTTACAAAAGTTGTAGTGTAAAGTAAAACGAGTCTACAAAATTAGCAGAATAACCCTACAGGTTTTTTCAATATTAATCAAAATTGATTTGTTCACATACTAAAACAAAGTAGTTTCGAAATTAATGGACCTCAGTATTTTTCATGTTAATCTTTGTGGAAAAATAATTGAATTGATTTTTATTTGATTGAAATGATTGGAAAAAGCGTTAGTAATCATGATAAGATGTAGTTTGTTCTCAACTTGGGCCATGAAGTTTTTCAGAAACTTAAATCATAATAAAGGTAAAGTTGAGGTTCTGAATGTTGCAAATGTTGCAGAACCAGCTTTTTATATATAAAAAAACAGAATAACCATAAAGTTCACACTGCTCTGTAAATTTTTATACATACGTATTTTTGAAGACATTCCTTACGATATTATTATTAATAATTGAAATTATTACACTCATTAATTCATACTTATTTATTTTTCAGACATATACTAGTGATCAAAGTCCACAAGTAGCTAAGAGGTACTTCAAACGTTGCTGAAAATAAGTGTTTAGTTTTATATTACATTTGAATCTTTTGATATATTTATCCAAATGTTTATTGAATAAAGCAAATTGTTTGTGACTGCTGCGGTTTATTACAATAATTACTTTTTTCGTTCGCTGATATAATCTAAATTTTTGGTTCAACCCAAGTCCAGTTGTTTCGTTACCACCCCCCAGTAAGTTTAACATATATCTCAGCCACATATACCATCAGCCTTGAAAGATTCCCTTTCAAAATTAGGTACAAAATTCCAGAATATCTAACATAAAACAATTAACACCTTGGGAATATCCAACATAAAATCGTTTAACACCTTATGTCACTTGCGTTGACATGGTCTCGGCTTCCCATCTAGCCGGAAGTTCGAAGTCTGCTGGAACTGCACCATTGTCTGGCGAGAAATTGAAAAGGAAAAATACCAAGATCTTGGTAACAACTATCTGTTCCATCCAGTAGCGGTTGAAACTTTTGGTGTTTATGGCCCGGAGTCTCTGTTATTCGTTCATGAACTCGGAAGGAGAATAAGCCAAGCAACGAAAGATCACCGATCTACCTCATTTTTGATAGAAAGAATTAGTATTGCTATTCAACGTGGCAATGCTGCTTCGGTCCTTGGAACTATTTCTCCTTCACATAATTTTGATGAGATCATGCATTGCCCTAACGGAACGGAAACCTCTTCGAAACAAGCCGAGATATGTGGATATTCATCAGTCTCCTATCAAGGTTTATTCACAAGTGATTGATGCACCTTCTTCTTTTTCAGTGCGGTCAGTGGACTCAGGTCATTCTTGCCCCCCAAATATGAGTTGCAGTCCTCGTACTTCTGTTTCCCTTTCAGTGGAAGAGCTTCATCAAGCAAGAGCCAAATCGATCCCTCTACGAAACCCTTCTTCACTTGGAAGGATCGATCGCAGCTTGAGAAATGGTTCTTAAGGAGATTCTGTGAAACGTGTTCTTCCTTACGAATCAGTAGAGAGTTGTCCTGAAAATCTAGAGAAGAAAATTGGATTGGATAATTTAGGAAACACTTGCTACATGAATAGTATTTTACAAGTGTTGTTCATGACGAATAATTTCAAGAACGAGGTTTTAATGATGAACGAGAACGGGAATGTTTCCTACTTATTCAACTCAAACTCCTCAAACACCTGTTCATGCAGCTGCAGTTTCGTAAGAAGGTATCATCTTTCCCTCCAACCGATTTCCTGGAGTCTTTGAAGTCCACTAGATACTCGTTAGGACAACAAGAGGATTGTTCCAAATTCTTGGGGTTCTTGTTGAATACTCTTCGTGAGCAAAACAATAGCAAAATCAATACTCCTGACCGCCCTGGATTGAATGATTCCGTACAGTCCATCTCGCCTTGTGTTTGTAAATATTTTGCTGGAAAAATCCTCACTTGTTTACTTTGTAGCAAAGCTTATTGTTAAATCATCTGAAAATGGAACTTTTAACAGGTGATGATCGACTGTATTGCCAAACATGCGACAAACTAACTGACTGTTATAAGGAAACAAGTATAACTAAGGCACCAGTCAATCTAATAACAACACTGATGATCTTCAAACAAAACTCAACCTCTAACGGAAGCAAGAAACTCTTTGGAAGGTTCGAAATAGATGAACATTTCAATCTAGCAGACCACTATTATAATATTCATGCAGTCCTTGTTCACTGTGGTTCTGGCGTTGAATTTGGTCATTATTACGCCTTGGTCAAAGACGAAACGGACTGGTTTAAGTTTGACGATGCATTGAATTTATTGGAGCCTCTGGAGACACCCTACATTTTGTTTTATAAGAGAGAGGATATTGGTAGATGAAGATCTTCAGATGATGTGGTGATGCAGGTTTTTCCGGGTTTTCCTGCAGCTGAAAAAGCAAACGCGCCACTGGAATCAATGAAGTCGCCCCGGAGCACCAATTAATTTTTATTGTTGTTTTAATTTTTATCGTATTTTTAATAATGAATAAATTAAATACCAAATAACGAACAGATATGACATATTATCCTCAATGGGAAGGAAACAGAGTTTTTCAAATTATCGTTTTATGAGTATCTTACATGTTCTCACTGTCACCACTCTGTATATTCCATCTGCCAAAATAGTTGCTGCAACTGTTGAAGATTGTGGAATATCCCCAGACGGTTTTCAGCAATATCAGTAAGGAAAGGATCAGGTAAAGGAACTAGGGACCTTCCAACTAAAAAATGACCCGGAGTCGACACTCCCAAGTCAGAAGAATCTGACGAAAGGGAAGTTAGTGGTCGAGAGTTCAGTATCGATTCCACTTCGGCTAATAATGTTGGAAAGTCTTCATAAGTCAATTTTATTTAACCCATTACCCTTTTCATATGAAATTTGAATGACTTTACCTCCGCTTCCCATAATCCTCCGAAATGTGGTGAATTCATAAGTCAATTTTATTTCACCCATTACCCTTTTTATATGAAATTTGAATGACTTAACCTCCGCTTCCCATAATCCTCCGAAATGTGGTGAATAGGCAGGAATAAAATACCAATTGACGTCTTCATTTTCGAATGATTCATACAAAACAGTTTCATTTCATTTGAGAAATTATCCCAACTCTTTCAATTCTGAATTTACTCCAACGAGAGTATTTCCATTATCTGAGAATAGCTTTTGTGGTTTACCACTACGTGCTACAAAACGTCTAAATGTGGCTGTTAATGCCTATATGTTGTTATATCTGTGATCAACAAACGAATTGAGCGGAAAAACAGATGTATCTAACGACATAAAGTTTTGAAATCGAACAACCACTTCCTAATTTATTCTTAATAAAAAATTTCCCAGCATAATCAACACCTATCACGAAAAATGTTGGTGCAGTTCACACTTTTTCTTTGGGTGAATGTTTCAAAATAAGAGTTTCTTGACGAGGTTTTGCTCTGAAACAACGTAAACAAGTTTCTACACCTAATTGGCCAAAATGTTTCTCTTACTGACGATAGAAACATTTGTGGAGCTGCATGATGCAGTCAAGATATTCAAACCGAAACATTTACTTAGTTAAATGATGATTAACATGTAATACTACTACTAATAATACTACTTCTTACCAAAATTGAAAGTTGCAGGCGTCCACCTACTCTTAATATACCCAATCCATCAATGAATGGGTTCAACTGGCTGAGTAACCATTTTTTAGTTCCTTTTTTATTTTCAATATTTTTTTTTCAAAACTTTCCTCTTGAGCTAACCTTTTCAGTAAGATGAATGAATATTCAAGAGCTTCTTCGGATAGTTTTCCTATTTTCTTACAGTTGGGATTACGGCAATTATATATAAATCTCCTAGAGGAAGTTCAAACCCTTTTCATTTCATTCAAACTAGAAAATTTGTGAAAGACTGGATCTTTTTTGAAACTAATATTTGAAATTTACATTTCTTTTCCGGGAGATGATCGATTATTCAAAAAGCATTTTAGGGCAAACTTCTTTTCCTTTTGATAACCAATAAGGTCCGTGAAACCACTTTTTGTAATTTTTTAAAAGCGAAGGTGAAACACCTCTAGAAACTATATCTGCCGGATTATCCTCAGTATTTACATCAAGCCAATCTTTATAGTTTGTTGTTTAATCTTGAATTTGAAATATTCGATTAGCTTAAAAAATCTGAAAATGATTTGGTTTGTATAAAACTGAAGTTTTACTCTTTGACTTGTCTCCAAATTGAAATGTACTTGATTCCAGTTCATTCTGAATATTTCTCAAAATTTCATCACTATTAGATTGCTATTTTCTCAGATATAACCTTCAGACTTCAATATTTTCGATACCTCATAACAAAGTTTCAACGCTTCGGGTATAGTATCAGCGCCACTCAAGATCGCGAATCGTTAGAAACGGACTGGATGTTAAGCCAAAAGTTACAGAATTTTATTCGTAAATACCGATCTCTTCGGAAGAATTCTTCCTCCAAATATTTTGCAGAACTATGGCATAAAGTTAATATACATCTTTCTTAAATCTTCGTTTTTGAGTAAACGTTTTTGTAAAGAAAAGAATGAAAAGAACCTAGATAAGCTCTTTGTTTTGAATCATCCAATTTAAAATTGATTCTTTGAATCTACCATCACTAGTTCAAATGGTGTTTTCTACAAAATGCTTTTCACACTCTTTCTCTTCTTGCGTTAATGTTTCTTACATATTGCTAATTCCTTCACCTTCCCAAAACTCATCAAATTAATTTTGAATCATATTATTTTTTGAAGTGAACCCACAAAAAGTAGTTTTTCTATTTCGGAATCTCATTTGCCCACTTAGAATCCAACTCAGCTTGGTATTATGCCAAAACTGGCAGATTGTTTCCTAACATGACGTTCTCTGAATTCAACAAATTCCAAAATAACCCTGCCCCCATTAATAAATCACTTGATGTGACGGATGGAACTGAGGATCAACCAAATGCATATTCGATGAAATTCTTAAATTGTTATAAGAGATTGAGCATAAAAGTATTTTTTTCTTCGATTTTGTCTATAACAAAACACATCAACTGAGATGTGGAATCAATATGGAGCAATTTTATCATAGACATTATTGTTTAATTTGAGCAACTACTTTGTCGATACCCGTTACCAAAATGGTGACATCGGTTGTTGGCAATTTTAGTAAATTCATGAACTTTTTTTAAAATGAAATTAGATTTAAATCCACAATCTAACAAAACTCTGCATTCATGCAACTGTCCAAAGTTATTGCAAACATAAACTAAAGCTTTGGATAATATTACTTCTACATTTTCATCATATTGCATTGAAAAAGTCACAGATTGTTCAATTTCCTGTGAAGAACTACTCTGTATATTTTGTGTTGTGATTTCAAAATTTTTGTTTGCACCAAACTATGGTACATGAATCAGCAAATTTTGTCAAGTGCATCAATTTTCAGAAATGTATCATAGTGCAATATGATTTCTTGTGTTGGTCGAATATCTTTTAAAAGCCAAACCAATTTTATTATAGTCTATAATCAATTTTGAGTCATTTCATTTTACATGTAAATCCATTGCACAATGGCACAGCACAATCAAACACTCGCCCCATCTGCCTGTGAACGAAGTAACCAACAGCATAACCGAATTTCCCCAAATTCCTCGTATAAGGAAAGAAACCTTCACAATAATTCAGTGGACATACTTGAAGACTAGCTTTAAATCAAATTAACTAAAAGAACAATGTTGTTTGTAGTTCGCTTCAGCCTAGTTTGAGAAATGATACTCTGAAAGCATTTGATTTTCAATTATAGAAAATTATCGACTCTATGTTGATGATAGGCACTACCTTGCACTGACGAGTAGCCAAACAGCCCGAAACCGGTCTGCACGTGTGCCCGCTCGTATAATTGAAAATCGATTCCACCAGCTGTATCGCCAACAGCATATGCACGAAATAATTCTGTGAAGATTCCTGCAATGACACCTGTTGGATATTATCAAACGCCCTTCGAGGTATTAGCCAGGGAATAGTTTTATGATAGGTGTCAGAACATTTACCAACAGTGTAGTTAAATCGAGATTGGCCTGAACAAATTGTTTTTTGATTGGGTGGTTATCAATTTCAATATTTCAAGTATTCAACGAACACTGTGCATTACTTTAGATACCAAATTTCCTTTTACCTTTCACATAAATGCTTTGTGAATGTACTTTTTTTGAAACTACCAAAACTCTAGGTTTTATTATAAGAAATTCAAAATTGTTAATATCTCAACTTCAATACATTTTTGAGATCAAAACTTGAGTGTCATATGCAATCCTGCTTATAATATACATATTAACAAAATGAAGAATATACAGACCCGCTTTTTCTCACTATGCCAAACAAAAAATGCGTGGATAGCGATTTTCATCACCTCAAGAAATGGTTGAAGTATTCAAAACCATGCATCTCAATCTCAAAGGTGAATATTTTGATATGAACACCACATTCAGAATTTCTTCTCAATCTCAATGTAAAAACATTTCATAGCTATTACAGAAAAATCACTAGTTATGGATTTTAATCTTAATTTATCGAATATAAGGTACACTTGTTTTAAATAGATTATTTGAATTCGATATTTTCTCAAGTGTAACATTTAACAACATTACTATGTGTCTTATATAGAATGTACAAATTTGGCCAACTAACTTATTTGCATATTCGATATTCAGCACAATCGAATCGATAGTTGCAAAGCTCCGCATCGTTTGTTCAGACTTGCGATGGAATGAAATATGACTTATGCTGTGCTTGCAGTCTTGCCCGAACTTGTTCAATTCTTTACCAATATAAATAATGAATGTCAAGGCAAACGTTACCAGTTTGTTTCCAGAATTCTGAAAAAGATGAGCTAGAAAAATTGACCAGTTATTTTGAAATGAGTGTTAATGATCGCACTGTTCAACGTTGGTTTGCGAAATTTCGTTCCAGAGATTTTAGCCGCAATGTGGTCAACCTACAGAAATCCAGAACGAGGATCCTGGTGAAGAGTTAGACACTACTATCACAAGATCAGTTTATTTTGCACAAATTGAGTCCTTTTTACGTTATGGAATTTGTTTCTGGGGAAATTGTGCAAAATTTCGTTTCAATATGGTATTCTCTATACAAAAAAGATCCATCAGATATTTATGCAAGGCTAGCTACAGGGATTCATGCCGCCCGTTATTTGTGAAGCAAAAAATTGTGAGCTTAGTGTCTTTTTATTTCGGAAACAAAAAATATAAAAATCAATTTAGTAACAACTCAACTTATAGTACACGTCAGTCTTACTCCGTTTCCCTTCCCACACCTTCTCTAGCCCTTACACAAAATTCTATTATTTTCAATAGCAAGTTATTTAACCACCTTCCCATTAATTGAAGGCGAATAAATAATGAAAAGAAATTCAGAATGAAAGTGAAAGAATTCCTTGTTGGGAGGCCCTATTATAGTGTGGACGAATTCTACCAAGGCTCTATCGAGTAATTGGCATGTAGCTTTGTGTAAACAAGTTATTGAAACCAACACGAAATGGCTATCAATGTTCATTATGTAGCATTATATATTTACATTTACCTAATATTCATAAATTCATGTACTTATATATGTATCTGTTCAGCTGGACTTAATATTGTTCTGTCCATATACTTCTGCTCTTGTCTCTAAGCATTATTTTATAGTTTATATTTGTTGTCCCATATACATGTTTTACTTTACTAGACTTTGCCAATAAGATGTTCATATCTTGGGTAATGAAGCATATTTTGATTTGATTTGACTGACTTATCACAAACGGTGTGTGGAATTGCAGAAGAACTTGAAGTCATGTGGGTTTTGATGGTTTAAAACATATTGGAAAGGTCAAAAAGCACGAAACGTGGATACCCCACAATTTGAACAATCATTTTTTAGATCGTATTGTCATTTGTGATGAAAAGTGGTACATATAAGACAACAAGAGACGTTTAGGACAGTGGTTGAACAACAATGAGCCACCCCGGCACTTCCCAAAGGCGAAAACCCACCAAAAAAAGATCATGATTACTAAATGGTGTTCAGCGGCTGGTGTTAACTATAACTTTCTGCAACCGGGCCAAACAATCACAACTGAGTCCTATTGCGAGGAAATCGGCGAAATGTACCGAAATTTATGTCAGCAGCAGCCGGGACTGGTCAACAGTAGAGGTCTGATCCTGCTCCACTATTATTGAAATGCAATCATCTTTTTTTTTCTGTTATCGAAAAAACAATTTCAATGACTGCCATAACTAACAGAATGAATGTTATTTGGTAACCGAATGGTGTACAAAACTTTAGTCAATTATTGGTAATTTGCTGTCACTCCATCAAGTACATTCACGGCAACAAAATAATTCCTTTTTATTACATTTAATTTATAAAAATTTCCTTACAGAGAACAATCCACTCCAAGATTGACAAACCATGGTACATTTTCCTCAATCTCCTCATGTTGCTGGCCTCATCGATGGCCAGCAACATGAATGCGTGGCTTGGGATGTGGGTCTCCTTTGAGTTATCTCAGTAAAACACCCGCTCATAGCTGCAGGGTATAACACCAACCAGGAAAGTGTCGATCCTCGAACCGAACAAATTGAGGAATTCCAACAAAATAAATTTAAAAAAACTCAAATTGTGAAAAGTTAAAAATATTGAAGCAGGAAAATAATCACGATAATAAAAGTTTGTCTTCAATGTGTAGTTAGAAATGAACAGAAACTTCATGATTGTAGCAGAGAAAACCAAGTATCAAATAAAAGTGAATTATGGCTCATTACTTGAAAATTACTTGAAGGTAATTAGTTCACAGGCAAAAATACAACTCATATTTATTAGAAAACAAATATTTGAAATATTAATCGCTCTCAATTACCCATACAGTAGTTTCTGGTTAATGCCTGTCGGAAAACATCTACTTCCCCGACTAATACCATGCTGAATATCGAATTATATCCAATGAATGAACATTAATGCGAAATACCTCAGAGATCTTGCAGCTTTTATATTTATTTTCAAGCCCTTATGTATCTCTCCTCGAACAGTCTTCAGACAGTTTGATCTCAGATTTATTCAACAAGGTATCCAGTAAGATAAAGATATTGTTTTCTTCCTCTCAGATCGGTTTTCAATATTTATACATTGAATGTATCTTGTTGATGGGTGTGTTTTGTTTTATGCCTTCGTAGTGACAGTTAATGACTCCAAACTATGGCCATCTGACAGAAACCACAATGAGCTGCTTGATTAAGAAACGACACAATTGTTTTATGCACATTTGTATGCAGACTTTTCAAAAAAATATACAGTCACCTTACGAGAAAAATATTCAACTTTATTAATTCTTTTTCATCTAATGGGTACTTGATCATAGAAGCCAAATGAAGTAATGAAAAACATAAGAAATTCACATAGAACAAATAAATACTTGGTTCCACTAAAGTATCACAAATCAAATTCACCATCTAGCCTAGCTTACCATTTTCCTCTGTTTTCTCTGCCTGTTGAAGAGCTTGAGCAATAGCATCGCCAAAATTTCTATTTAACGAAGGTACTGTCTCATATCCTTCCAGTTCAGCATTACTATCATGTGTATGCGTATTGGGTGTGGTTCCCATTTCAAAACCAGTAACCTCAATTACTTTTGGAGAAGTTACTGAGCTTGAGGTGGGTTTCAAATTGGGCCAAACAGGAGACCATTTCTTTTCTGTTGCTGCCATCTTTGAATAAGAAATAAATAAATAAATTGGACTAGTCATCTACAATAGTGATGAGAAATATCAAAATGTGTTCAGTGGAAATGTAGTAGAGGGGACTGACCTTGAAAAATATAAGAATAAATCAAGGTTAATTAACCTCACAATGATTTTGCACAAATGTAGTGAAATAAGAATAGTTATATCATTTCACAAAACAACAGTTTGTGCAAAAGCTTTATTATTATATCCATAGTTTGCTAAATGCATGTTTATCATGAAGACAGTTCTATAATTAACTGCTCATCTGAAATTAAACTTATCAACATGCAAACTTTGTAAGTACATTTTAATTATGTTCAACTCAACTTGTGTTCAGCAACACCAATAACCTATTCTACTTTATTCTATCACCCCTTGTACCTCTGCTTGACCCTGAACAACAATGGTTTTTTTCAATAATCATATAAAGTTTGTTTAGGAGCATCCTCTCCTGAAATGTGTAGTTTCAGGGGAGGATGATCTTGCCTATGCTCATGAAATGTTCAGTTTTCTTCATAACCATCAGTTCAGTTTCATTAAGAGCCAATCTACAATTGATGCAGTGGTAAGGGAAATTATTCAGAATGTGGAGAGTGGCAAAATTACTTCCTCAAATTTGTGGGATATGAGCTGAAATTAAATAGTTAATATCTGCTCAAAAGCATGTAAAAATACTAGGTATCTCAATGGATGACTCACTTGAATGTGAATTTCTTTAATCACTTGTTATTCCACTCTAACTTACATGATCGAAGTGTGTGCCTTATGCAAAAAATCTCTTAGAAAAATAGTTGGGAGTTTCTTTCAACGAACCATTTCAATTTTTTTATAAGATTCTACCTTTGACCTGCAATTTTATCCAATACAGTTTGCCAGAGATTCATAAAAAAAGGTATAATTCTCATCCAAAAGTCAAGAGAAATTATCCAATTTATATCGCCTCTCATACAGGGAGGCAATATAAATGCAGAAACAAATAAAGGTGTTAGAGAAATCTCGAAAAGGTTTTAATATGGAATAATATTTAATAACTATCATGAATTCTCTTTCAAATGAATCAGTTCCTTTTTCATCATCATTTTAATAGTATCAAAGATCCCTACTAAATTTGCACACTATATAAACATCTAATTTCATCTCAAAATATACTTTTCAGAGTAATTATTAGATTAACAATCACAACATCAAAATCTATATATAAATAATATTTAGCAACCCACTTTAGAATTCATGTTTTACCTTGAAAATATTCCATGGTCTCTTTGTTCACCACAGGTTGCTTGAGTTGAATTTCCGCAACTTCAAATTGGCAAGTGACTGGTAAATGCTGAAGGTATCTCAATCTCTTGCGAAGATCTTCTGTCATAGAACCGCCTTCTTTTTCCAAAATTCTTCCAGTTAAAGTTTTAGGACCAAATTCTAAAGATCCGTAAGTGTGTTCCAGCATTCTGGCATTGATTGCGTGAAGATAGAGATGTTGCCCGTCAGAGGCTGAAAGTTTATCAACATTGAAATAAAAGTTGAAAACCAGAGTTTTTGACAGTCATTTATTTATTTATCAAAGGATAATTCCCAACAGTATAAACAGTCTATAAATTTAAGGAAATCAACACTACTACTAATTTCAACTATACTATTAACATAATTCAGTCCTATGTTTTTTACTTAATTTTAAAGAGTACCTTGAAAAATATGAAAGATTAAAACCTACAGAAAATAGAAAATTTTGATCTACAATATTTCAACACTGAAATTTGAATGTACATATTCATATACATATCAAATAGATCATAATCAACTTCATTGCCATTACTATTAAAGAAAATGGAGAATGTTTTTTTTAGAAAAAGGTTCTGTAGTGGCCGTATTCAATTTTTCTAATCCTAGTTCCTTTATTTGTTCAGAAAGTCCATTTGGGATTTTCTCAATTTCAATTCTATGTGTATTATTTTGAAGAGTTTGCTCTTCAACAAAACAACCAAAGTAAATAATAAAATAATGTATTAACCAAGTGCAATGTTGATTTATGAAAAGTAAATGGAGCTGTAGAAAAAACTCGCTTACTAGTATTTCAAAAATCAGTTTATGTTCCAAAGATCAAATTTCACAAAGCCTTGAAAATAGCAGTGTGTACTCAACACTTTGGAAGTGACAAATAAAAGCAGAAGGGTTGTCAATTATTTTTACCTTGATAAAAATAATGGTATCTGGATGGTTGAGTACCAGATATGCCTGTTGAATTCTCAGTCTTCACAGATAATTCATTTGATTTATCAGCTATATTCAGACCCGTTAATGCTCCAACTACTGAATCACAACAGGAACCTGAACCCAAAACAACTTCTCTTTCTTGTAATAAAGTTATAGCCTCCTCAATAAAACATCTTTCAGTAGAATCACATTCTTCTGCTAGTTGTTTTGTCAATTCATTGTACTCTCTTGAACAAATCAACAAGATATCCTCCTTCTTCGCTAAAAGCAGCTTCGAATAAACATCTTGAACATTTTTTTCAGACATGTTGAATATAACATCACCTTCCTTAACATCTGCATCTATGGGATATGCAATTAAACTTCCTTTCAACCTCTTCATTAACTTGAAGGTTATTGTCTCAGTTACATTGAATGTGGAATAAGGGAGTGCTACAACACTGTAATAAGGATAATCGATAAATTAAGAGAGAACAAGTTCATCAATGAGAAGTTGGTATGACATTCCCTTTGAGCAAGCACCATTCACTACAATCCACATAAAAGTCAAATCCTAAACAGCAGTCTGTTATTAATCTATTTGCCAGGGGAAAAAGGTAAATATTATGCAATTATGATCCTATTTTATCCACTGTGAGGTTTGGGATTTCTGTTGATATCAATGAATGGTGTTTCTCATATAGAGAGGTTTTCACACAACTTTCGTTAGAGATGGAAAATTTCAAAATTTGAATTTTTGACTCTGTTATTACAACTGAAGATATATGTGGCTGATTGAAATAGTCAAATGAAGGTGGCCTATACTTGGTTAAAATCTATATCAAAACTTACTATTACAGTTTATTGTGATTTTCACTATGAAAGGTTTAGAAAAAATATTTGTTTAGACTTCTAATCATAAAGATTTTAAACATGTTAAGAATGTGGTTAAAGAGTAAAATACATTTGAAGTAAAATTCAAATAACAACTAAAATAACTCATATAAGACAAAAGTATATAACTCCATAAAATAAAGATATTTTTGGAAGACAGTCTAAAAAAATTTGGCGGCAAGATGGAAAGGTAGCATATTACATAATGGGGAAATGTGGTATTTTGTAAAGGCGCAGAGCTAAATAATCATACTACAAATTTGACTGTGAATATATGTCATGAGATATCAGTTATTCGACATATATAACTGCCAACAATGTTTACCTATTCGTTCATATCCAATAAGTGTAGTCAGTTCTATTAAAACGCACCATAAGAAGATAGAGACCACAAAAGTTTCATTATTTAGTCTTCATTTTCTATGTAATAGACACATAAGGAAAATGTAATGCCACAAGACTAGGCTCTAACTTTTATGGCTTAAGAGAGGGATCCTTGAAAAATATACTATACTTAATACCCCTTTAACATAACTAATGATTACAATAATCGGTACTTACCTCTTTAAATCACTTTTATATAGTGGTTCGAAACAGATTGGGCATTTCCTGGTAGGTTTTTCAGATAGAGATAAGAAATGCAAAACGCAAGACCAACAGTAAATATGACCACAACGAGTCATTTTAGCAGCTACAGGCGAATAAAGGCATATTGGACAAGTTGGAAACTCGGATACTTGAATATTCTGAAATAAAAATATTGACTTAAAAAATAAATTAAGGAAACGAAAGGAAATATGATATAATACCAATATCTGAAAAAGGTAACGGAGGGACTAAATTTATGGGTTTCAGTAATGATGAAGGGATAATAGTGTTGTGCACACTTTTCTAAGGTTTTCTTTCAATTCTACCCCAATGTGTCAATATCAGTTATTCCTATCTGTTTTGTATACTTTATTTAGGGTCAATGGAATCTTGGATGTTATCAAATGGAATATTTGACATTTGCATTAAATATTTCACACTTTTTGCACTTTTCCAAATTAATGGTAAACATTCATATGCTATAGTAGTGAAATTTGAAACTCTGATTCCCAACGAAAACAATATTTTTTATCAGTCAATTCAACACCTGTTGACTGGGGATATTTCATTTAAAAATTCCTTGAAAATGTTCATTTATGTCACCAGCACTTAATCCTATCACTTGTTTCTAAACTTATATTTGGTATATACTCTTATACATACAACATTCAAAATTTTCATACTATATTTGTTTCCAATGTAAGCTCAAAGTAAACACAATTGAACGTGTGATAACGGGGTATATTTATTTGTCGTAGAATATGCTGGTTGGTACTGGTTATAATTGGGTGGTGACTATTGTAACCATGTCAACTATACCTTCAACTTGTGTTCAAGGAACTGAAATCTATTTCTGTTTTGACGTTGTTTACTTCGGAATTGAATATTGTATAGAAATAAAAATAAGGCAAACTTACCACCTGTTCAACCAAATTCCAGTCAACTAAGTCATCTGGATTGTTCAGATATTGTTTGTAATTACCAGATTCATTGACAACAAATTGACAACTGAAATGAAAAAAAAAAGTTCCAGAGTTTTTAAATAAAATTGATATGTGAATAACTAAAGCATTGTTATATTGATCAATATTAATATACAATGAATTAAAAACAAACCAAGAAAAACTTCATTTCTAATAGGAATATCAAGCAAATTATCTTAAACAATATAAATAATTATACCGTTGCTTCAAAAGGTTTATAATTTCAAATTATATTGAAAAACTAAAATTTAAAAAGATCATTAGGGGCTATTTATGACTTCCAAAGATTTTCTTGACACGACTACAAATTCCCCATACTCATTGAATGAATTCAATAATTTTTAAAATCATTAAAAGCTGATACTGAATAAATTTCAACTCATAAATTCAACTCACTTGGCTTGTAGAAAATGTTCCTTGTTATACTTATGTTTCTTAGTGGTCAGCATACTGTTGCTTCCTTTACAGCCATCTTTAAATACTCTTTGAGTTTGGTAACTATCTCTTGGTGTATAAGAAAAATTCAATAAATGATTCAAGCTTTGCTTTTTGCTGCCTGGTAAAAAAACTGAACCCAATTCAGCTGAATGTTCTTCTACCTCGGTCTCCTCATTTCGAGCCATTGCACCTGTATAATATGAACCTCGGGGTTTTGGTCGCTTATCGAAGGTCTTGACACGTTGAGGTTGCGGTTTATGAGATGGTTCATTTTTTGTTGAAAGACTACTGCCAGCGACTTCTCGACGCCGGGACCCGCGAGGCCACAACTTACTGTTAATACCATCTGAAGAAAAATAAAATAATATCAACATGGAACTGCCACAAAAGCAATATGTTTTAACAACATTTCATTTTTTTCAGTTAACTCATTCAAGGTTCATAGAAAACACCTAAACTCACTATACAGACATTTACTCAAATTAAATTGCCTTTTTATTCAATGTATGATATTGTAATGAAATTGTTAAATTGACTAATAAAATGTTAAGATTAATAGTTATTAGCACCTATATGATTGTATTTTCTTCTTTATGATTGTTTTGATAGTAAATGAGTATTTTTATTTCATCATTATTTTCTGGCACAAACTTAATAATTTTTTGGAGGGGTGGAAGATAGCCTCTAGCTAAACTTTTTCCATTCATGTATAAAATGTACTTTTTATGCATAATAAACGATATTATTATCATTATTATCATCTCCTAATTGAGCTACGACTTTGGAGTTTTCTATATAAACAAGCAGCGTGTAAAGTTTCAAAATGGGAAGTAATGGGTTCCTCGTTGAAAGTATTTGAAACTTATTGTAACTCCTAGGTTTTTGTGAACTCATAATATTCAAAACCTGTAAAAGAAGAAAAAAAACAAGACAAATCTAGTTTACTCCAAATTTTTTGACTAAACTTTTCATAGAAACATTCATATAAAACTATAAAATACCATTCAATGAAGGAAACTTTTCCAAAAGCGGCATTCGCCTTCAATATTGGAAGTCGTCAAGGTGGTGGAATAGATTAGGGTGTGCAGTTTTTTATTTTTTTATGGGTATTCTTATGAACAAGTTAGCTATACAATTCACAGATAAATGTAAAGTAAGAATACATTTCATTTGTTTGAAATCATTTTTGTTGTTATTTTTTAGGTTTGGAATATATGTTTGAAAAAACCTGAAAGTTACAATTAGTTTCAAATAGTTCCACTGCGAACCCATTAATTTCCTATTTGAAACTTTTCATACTGAGTGTCCATTTAGTAGGCTACTTCTTTAATTTTCTTGAATCCTTTTGAAAATGTGTTTCCAAGAAACTCAATATTTTTCAAATTTGGTTAAATATTTTATCTTAAAACCCTCTATGTGTTGCATATCATATGAAAGGTCATTCAAAATAGAAAAAAATAAGTTCGAGATCAAATAGGAGAGGAGCAATTGCAAATTGAGTAAAAGTCTGCAGTGATTACAGGTAGTTTTTAAAATAGCTAACTCAAAAACAAGTTGACCTAAAAATTTGTAAATTATATATTTCTGGAACTAAATGATTTGTTCAAAAGAATTACTGAAATTTGAGAAATAAAATTATTCCATGAGTTTGAGAACAAAAATTACTCAAAAATTTTCTTTACTTCAAGATAAGCTAGATTAAAAGCTTCTGAAAATTATGTATATGAAGAACATTAACCTAAAGATTGGTTGATTTGTGTGGATTAAGAAACTTATGGTAAATCGATTCATCAACAAGACATTACAATATGTTGCTGAAAGATATACATAATAATAGATTACAACTTCAAACATCCAGGCATAGATGGACTGGATAATTCTGAATATACCAGTGTAGTGAAAAAAATTCAGAACCAACATAGGCACTGAAATAGTCCTAATGTACTCTCCACGATTTGTGAAGGACGATGATATTCATTTTCATATCAACATGGCGGCCTATTTATGGGGATAACCTTGTGACATAACATTCGGTATCACTAAAATACAAACCTTTTTTTGAATCAGTGGCAGTACCCCTCAACGTTGGTAAATTCCGAGTTCCTTTTTTCTCCATTCCTACGTCCTCCAGCCTTAATATTAATGTACTTTGAAGCACCTCCAAAAGGAGTGGCAACGGGTAATTTGAAGGTAGACATTTTAACAAGCCATGTTTATAATGTCACAAACAAGAAAAACCGTGAACTACAGTAATTCCTGATTCAGATGAACTCAATTGGGTTATTAGAAAAATAGATCTGAAAACTTTTGGGAGCAGGAAACTCCCTTCGTCGATAACGACGAAAATTTGCCGCAAAACACAATAACGTTCTCGCCGCAGTAATGGCGACTTGGCAACTAAAACAAAACCGGAAACGGAAAGTAAATATTAACCAGTGACGTCGTAATATTCTCATTGTCGTATTCAGGTCGGTACTAGCACGGAGTCAATAACAGAAGCCAATATATACTTGAAAATTTACAAAACCGCATTGAAGGGTGGTTTTTTGAATATGTTATAATGGATTTTCATGAAGTATCGGATTTCTATCACATTTTCTTAGAATTATTTCTGTCAAACTCATTTTAAAATAAATAAAAAAGAATATTCGAGTTGCCACTATAGATTAGATCTAGATCTTTTTTGTAATAATACTAGTGTTTTTGAGTGACATGTGTTGAAAATTTATGTTCAATTGGAACTGCATCAATATTGGAATTTGACAGAATTCGTAACAGTATCAATGCGATACGAGTTCACAACTAGTTTTACCAACGCAAAACGCTATAAATAAATAAACATATAGCCATGATGCTCCCTAGGTGGCTCGGGGAGTTATTAACATTGCCTACCTAGGACACGAGGCTAATGACCAATGCAGTCGATGCTGATGACACCAAAAAAAAACCTGCAGATATACAAAAGCTTACTTTGTGAAGTGTAAAAGTATTTGGTGGTTATTCAACTATATTTATTAGATATCTTTATTTTTCACTGTACACTGAAATAATTTATTCTAGTACAGTTCTGAAATCACATTCCATAAATCACTCCTAAGAGCGGGAAAATTAGAGGATTCTTCACGCGCCGATCAGGCTTCATGGAAAACTTTGTCAATATCGAAAGAAGTATCGAGCGTCATATCGAATATCTTACTGTGGCTATTCAAGTGATCATCACTAATTTCCAAGAAATTTGGGCGACATTTAACCAAATTTGATACGGCAAGCGCCAAACGTGATGGTTCCGAGAGAGAGAGAGAGAGAGAGAGACAAGCAGAAGGCCAATCAAACATTACCAAACCAACGACCACATCCAAGAGTCGCTGTCAGGCGGCTCCGGTAAGTATAAAAATTTTCTAACAGATAACAACCACTTTCTTTTGAGGTTCAACGAGAAACACTCGAACGCGATCTCTTTTATTAAAAACAATGTCGTACCTATAATTAGTTGTAATGAGGGTAACAAATGGAACAAGACTTCTTTGTAATTCATTTTCATATTTTTTAGTAGGTATTATAGGTAGTAGTACAGTTCATTAAATTGTTATAATAATGATACATTTATCCAAAAATAAACTTTTGTTAGTCGATGACATTTTTTCAGAAACAACATAAATTTTTCAGACAATGCCAAACGCATTTGAGGACAAGTAATGATACGCCTCTGTACAGAGCATTTGTATGTCTTGCAAGAGCAAACACTTATCAAAAGAAAGTTGACAACCAAAATATTTATAATAATTCCTCTTCATATTATTACTAATATTGAATAAAAACTTATCTGCTTTCAAGATCTCAGTAATTTTTTCATCACATTACAGTATGACCTGACAATATGTTTTTATCATATTATGGCGTTCTACTTTTCTATTACTAAAAAATGTGGGAAACTTCCAAAGAAATCAACTACAATGAAAACTTTTATAAAGATATGTAATACATAGAAACTGGCAAAAAGCCTTTCGAAACTATTTTTACATGAACATTGAATTAAAATAAAATTACTTCGCTCCATTCAGTTGGTACCCCAAACATACATTATGGAATTTAAACATATATCATTCGCCAGAACGCTATTCAACTTAATATATCAAATGGTTTTGATATAAAATGTCACTTACATCCTCAATGGTGTATTTTGAAGTTTCACAAGACACTTCATTCTTGCAGTTCGTATCTTCGATGAAATCAACCCATTCAGTGTGCATGCCACACTGAGATGTTAGTACTAATTTATATCTTGGTGTGATCATTGATAGTATGTATATGAAAATTGGTGAGCAGTCAAGGGTTAACTGGTAATCAGAATCTTACCTCTTGATGATTTATATCTATAAAATTTTATCCTTTTTACTACTATCTTACACCTAAAAGTTCCAGAATTTTTTTTTGAATTTATAGATTTCTATTTCTTTCAAAGTTTTCATATCACTTTCTTCAGATTAATTTTCTCATTTTGCTCCTCTATTTTTTCATTGTTATATAGTTAGATTTTTTTTGACTTAGCGTTGTAATTAGCAACTTTTTGTTTGAAGGTGGTTGACAATGTTTCATGGTGTATTTCATCAGTTCGGACTTCCATTGTCTTATATACTTTATATAAATTGATTTGAAATCCCTTAAAAAATTATCTATTTAATTTCAAATCAATTTATATTATATTAGACAATGGAAGTCCGAACTGATGAGCAACTTTTTTTTAGATTCATGAATGAATGGTATTGTGTCTTTCTATAGCTTTTCAATGTTGTATATTTCCTCTCTGTGCAAATTTGTTATCTGAAATTTACAAATATTCTCTCCTTATGGATAAATTGTGACTTATTTTTGCTATTTCTTTTTCCTTTAGGTTTTATTTCCTCAATTGAAATTAGTGTCAAGATTCCCCAAAATTCCCCGAGACACAAATGATTTCAGGTAGAAATTCCCAGGAAGTTTCCTTGTGAATGTTCCGGCAAATATCAACAAAGTGATTATAAAGGTAAAAAATGGGTTGTTTGAAGTATCACGTTTGTCACTGTTCATAGTTCTCATGCTACACTTTGCTATTTCCAGACTCTCTAGACAATAAAATAATCTAGTGCCAGTTTTCATTACTTTTTAGATTAATTCCACGTTTTGGATCTGATATGAAGACAAGTACTTGCGATTTTTCAACAGGAAGAAATCTAAGGTTCAATATTAAGTTTACCTACATATGAAATTGAAAACGACGAGGAGTTACTTTTCTTGGATGTTTCAGAACTAACCAGGGTCTAGAATTTTACGTCTATAGGAATAATACCAGTAGTTTTAGATATATTATTTTTCAAGATGGGTATATATTCGAATTTTTTTATCCATTTCTGAAGACGGAGGCAGATTTTGGCCTCCGAAACGTAAAAGATAAGTATTATTTCTTAATAATTTCTTTGATAGGCAAAATTGTTAAATACGACAAGTTACTGATAAATAAGGGATTTTTCTTTGTGAAAAATACTTTGATTTTTACGCAGTAACTTATCGGGGTAAACTATATAGTTTGCCCTTCTACACTTGTATAAAGTTCTCCATCATAATTTTTATATTTTTCAGATTGTGGAATGTAACAATTACCCAAAAAAGGTAGATAAAAAACTGATTTTTTCCTCCACAAAAAATGACTTTCGTTAAATAGGTAACTTGACTTTTTAAAAAGGCATTGATTCAAAGTACATTGTCCTTCTGTATAAATCAAGATACATTAACAGATTAGATTGCATTTTTTAAAGTTGAAAGTTAAAGTAGCCTTCAAAACTTTTTGTTCACTTCAACCCCAAAGAGATGTTAGAAAATGAAGTCAGGGATATATGAAATAAACTGTGAGGACTGTGACAAAAATATATCTACCAAACTGAGTTATTAAAACTCGTTTCGAACAACACATAGCTTATATCCGTTTTCGGAGACAAGAAAAATCTAGGGTCATTCAACATGCCTTTGAGAACGGCCATAGAATAAATCAAAACTGTCTGAAATTGTTGACACATGACACAAGATTTTTGAATGGTTTCGAAAGCCTTGAAGAAGCAAAGTGTGGCATCAGAACTTTAAACAGTGACAAATGTCCCATTCCAAAGAGCCCACTGTTTACCTTTTTCTGAATCACCCTGTTATAATTTCCGATAACTTTGACAATTTCCCGCCAATTTCCACCCAAAATCATTAATGTATTGGAAAACGAGAGTATATCTGTTAAATATAGATAGACTTAGGAATTAGTCCACTTCATCTCCTGAGGACACTAACTTGGTTGGTGAAACACGTGTCGAAAAAATTATTGCAATTCTAATGTTTAGGAACATATTTATAAGTTGTGTCACAATCTGCATTAAATCTAAGTGTAAAGAATTCGACTGATTTGATATAAACAATACATCATACTCTATAGGCAAATAAAGTATATATCTATCTATATTATTAGTAATTAGTACAAACATATCAAGTACTGAAACTACATTCAGCATTATTAGTAATTAGTAGAAACATATCAAGTATTGAAACTACATTCAGCATTATTAGTAATTAGTAGAAACATATCAAGTATTGAAACTACATTCAGCATTATTAGTAATGTGAACAATAATCTATAACCTTTCAAACTACTGAATCTTTCCACCCTTTTATTGAACTTATTTGAGTTATTAATATTTCGGAGCAATTCAAATTTTCAAATGTTTTGTTTATAAGCTGGAGGTTATTATAAAATGTAAAGAAGGAAATAATATGAAAGAAAAACAAAATTCAGTTATGTGGGGTCAACTTGAATACAATTAAATTCTTATATTTATTTATTACCACTGTTAATAGGTACCACTGCATAGGCTAATTGAATTTCAAAACGAGCTCCTACAAAACAATATATAAAATATCAACATATAAATAAATATTTTTACGGTACAACCTAATGAAGTCACTAATAAATAATTTTTTCCTATCTAGATCACATTGCATCAAAATGGAATCTGTGCGATTCAGACATTCGTTCCTTTTTATCTTCCTGCCTCTCTTTCCAATGCAAGACTCCAATAATTACAGTGATTAGACCGCAGAGTGTGGTGAGCGCAGCTACAGACATCAAAATGAGTTTACTTGGAGTCACAAATAGTTGAGCCTTCCACCTTGAGGGATCATTTGTTGGCCAAGGAATGACAACCATTTGAGAATTGGGTATGATCTGAGTCCAATATCTTGAATGTTTGGAAAGTCCAACTGTCAATTTATCCACGAAATTAGGTGTGCGTCCTAAACCAAAAATAGAATAAGGTAAGTTGAGGCTGAAATGTGCAGACTGTGGTAGTTGAGCAGCAAGACCATGTCGAACTATACTCTCCTGAGTGGTAGTCTTGTAACTTATAGACGGTCCTGGCAGATTGGTTCCGTACGTTCTTCGCTTTTTACCAACCCTTCCCATAATCATTGCATTATTTTTATTAGTTAGACCAGTCAAAACCATGACCTTAACGAAATTGGCATCATAATCCAAGCTGTTTTTGAATGCAGCAGTTTTATAATTCCTTCCATCATATGACACTATGATGCAATCCAATATTCCATCTTGATAGAAATCAAAGAAAGCTGCCATTACAGTTCCATTTTTGAAAGGATTGAGAGAACTCCATTTAATAGCATAAGTTCGTTTCAATTTACCACAAGCATTCTGACATGGCACATTTTCTAAAAGAAATGATTGAGGAAGACTATTATCAGTTTGTGCAGGAGAAAGAGTTGCTAAGATATCTGGGAAACCATCCATGTTGAAATCTCCACTTCTTAATGTTATTACATCTGTATACCTGCTCCCTGGCCTAAGATGAAAACCCCATAGATTTGAGTTATCATCTTTGAAATTAACTTGCAAATTTATCCACCTCTGCTCCAACTTGGAATAGAGCATTAAGGCACTATTTTTACATTTTTCGTCAAAACAAACTGGTGTTATCAAGTCCATCCTTCCCAAGAGTTCTATGTCAATGAACAAAGATTGCCCAATAATAACAGCTTCTTCAGATTTGATAGGATTCACAGGATGAGGGATAGTTCTGTTGTAAACAAATTTTTCTTCTCCGTCTTCCTTTCCCAGCCAAATTTCAAAATTATACTTTGTTGTTATGAACAAATCTGCCATGTAGTCATCATTTAGATCTGAAATAAAATGTGATGCAAAATTGAAATTTCAGCTTTCTCATATGAAAATAGTTAAGCTTTCATACTTTATTAGTAATATAAGTCACTGAATGTACCTTTGGATGATAACAATTGCATAAGAATATAGGGAATACACTGTGGCAATTTGAAAATGTACCACCCTCTATATTTCGGCCCCTATAGAAAATCTAAAAATATTCAAAAACGTCAAACTGCCCATTCTGAACCGATGAAAATCATACACAGTATCCAGAAAAAATGAAGAATTGGGCTAGCATTTTTGGATCTTTATTCAGTGAGGAAAATTTAACTTGTGAGCTCAACTGAAATCTTTGAAGAAATAATGAACTCCTTAATAGCAACTAGTTTGAAAATTCAAATTGATGCAGCTGGTACAATAATTTTGCAAAACGATTGATCTTGTTCACTTTCAACAAGAAGTTCAACACACTATTTTCTTTCAGTTAGACACTGGCAGATGGATTGTTTGGAAAGGAGCAATACAATAGCCACTACAAGCACCTGACACATCTCCTCTAGATGTCTTCTTATAGGATTAACTGATTAACGGAAAAACAGATTTTAAACAGGAGAATTAAAAGAATCGATTGCTTATAAGACACAGCCTCGATATTTGGACGATTTGAAGATACGAATAAGAGAATAATAAACTTTATCATTGTTTAGCAAATTTTAGGCTCCTTTAATCCCGCATCGCCCACTTTCCATGTGTTTTTTCAAATCAGTGAGTTCTGCGAGCTCTACCATTGAGCTGGTAGAAGCAAATACCAGATATCATATTCTATTCAAAAATCTTATTTGTGTTAAGCAGAACCCAATGAAGATCGAAAAATTCTGAAATAGGAGAGTACAAAACTGACCTAAAAATATGGCCTGAAATAAATATAAAAATTCAAATTGGTTCTGCTAACTTAACGATCACATAGGACCAATAAAACTGAATTTTGAGACCCAAACCAATTGTATAGCATCTACTTTGAGAATAACCAAAACACTTCGTTTATAGATGAAACATCAGGCATAAAAACCTGCATACCACTGCCAACAAACCCAGAAAATAACTTTGATAGTTTCTCAGATAGTGAGAGTTTACTCTCTTCGCATCACTTATAAACACTTATGATGTAGTTTCCTGACACAGGTCTGCAGGTATGCAATTGTGAAAAAACAGTGTCATTTTACAAGTTTCCATTACTGGAAGTGACTTCTTGAAATAGTTGGCCTTATTTTCAACAATCGACCGGAGCATTAAGTTCTGATTTTAGATTTGTGATCAGCTGAAGAAAATATCTGGTGAAAATTTTTCCAAGAAAAGGTGTGACCTATTGAAATTATTATTTACTACTACAAATTTGACCTGAGAATGGATAAGAAATACTGTAAATATATTTCACAATTTGAAAAATTACCTAAAAATGCATGAGCATGGGGCCTACTCAATTCATATGTTGGATGCCTGTTATCCTTCATTCGTATTTCAGTTGGATAAGCTCGGTTTTTATTAAAAACCCAAAACATCCGATCTTTCTTTTCATTTTGACCAAACAAGTCAATCACCATATCACCATTATAATCTATTGCTAAGGGCTGTCCTATCATTTTAATCAAGGGGCTGTCTTCATTACTGCAGTTCAAGTAAGTTGCTCCACCCCAAATGATATAAACATATGTATAGGATACCTCAGAATCACCATCTNAAGTATGCCCACTGACTATACGTGAAACTTATGATGTAGTTTCCTGACACAGTGTCATTTTACAAGTTTCCATTACTGGAAGTGACTTCTTGAAATAGTTGGCCTTATTTTCAACAATCGACCGGAGCATTAAGTTCTGATTTTAGATTTGTGATCAGCTGAAGAAAATATCTGATGAAAATTTTTCCAAAAAAAGGTGTGACCTATTGAAATTATTATTTACTACTACAAATTTGACCTGAGAATGGATAAAAAATACTGTAAATATATTTCACAATTTGAAAAATTACCTAAAAATGCATGAGCATGGGGCCTACTCAATTCATATGTTGGATGCCTGTTATCCTTCATTCGTATTTCAGTTGGATAAGCTCGGTTTTTATTAAAAACCCAAAACATCCGATCTTTCTTTTCATTTTGACCAAACAAGTCAATCACCATATCACCATTATAATCTATTGCTAAGGGCTGTCCTATCATTTTAATCAAGGGGCTGTCTTCATTACTGCAGTTCAAGTAAGTTGCTCCACCCCAAATGATATAAACATATGTATAGGATACCTCAGAATCACCATCTTTATCAGGCGGTGTACGAATAGTTGTTACCAGAACATCCATCAAAGCATCGCCATCAAAGTCACCAGGAACAACACTAGTTATCAAGTGATCAGTAAAGTGACATGTTAAATCCTCCGTGTGTCGCCTGAGTAGTGGTTCTTCTTCATGAGCAAGTAATATTTCAACTGTTTTTCCCTTTCCTCTTAGAACAAAGACGTCTGTTAGTTCATCAGAATTGAAATCGCCAAAGGCAGCTGGCATTCCTTCCGTTTCATCTCCGAAAGCTAATTTTGTTATATTACTGCAGTAAGCATGAAAAATCACCACGTTAATGCAATATAATATTCCTAAAATTGTAAGGTGTCCCATATTCCAGATATCATATTCTATTCAAAAATCTTATTTGTTTTTCTTTCTACTTTACATATCGCAAATTCGCAAATTGTCAAAAGCGACAGGTGACAAATGTCAACTTGTCTTCTTCTTCTTATTTTTCCATTAATGGCTTCATCTGCCAGGGCTATCCAGCCAGGAGTTCCAGGATCATGTTGCTACTACAGGTGGAGCCCACACTAAAGTGGATCTGAGTTGGACCCAAACCCCATTTAGTTTTGCGCTATAACAAAGTTCGACTGTAGTTTGAGGTCAGTTAACAAGCAATGTCCGTCTGCATTAGAGTGTAAGCACTAATATGAGGTGATGCACTACGGTTACGTGTATGGACACTACGGTTACGTGTATGGACACTACGATCAGGTCATGATTGGCGAAGCACTGCATGCACACAAGTATTAGTTCTGTCTTGATCACTACAGCTTTATGTTGGATGCAATCAGGAATTTGGATATGGTTTGTATGTTAGATGGTGATATATGTTTGAAAAATATATCGTGGAAGGTAAGAGGCTGAATGGTTGAAGGAGGGATGCTAAGAGAGGCATGCAGTATTTGTATATTATGAGAATTATTAGGGCAGGCAAAGAATATATGTAGGAGAGTCTGTATTTCCCCACATTCGCAGCGGTCGTCATCAACTATCTTAATTTTGTGGAGATGCGCTTTATTGAGGGAATGAGTGCTCCTAATTCTGCACATATTGACGATTTCTTTACGAGAACAAGTAGCCAGATCCTTGAACCATGGAGTTTTGTAAGGTTGTGGTACGGAGGAAAAGTAAAGTTCGGCTTTGAATTGTCCGTCCCCGCTATATTGATTGGTCCAGTCTATTCTGATATATAACTATTACTCTGGTTCTTCTTCTCTTTTTTTGGTATTTGCTTCCCTACGGCGCACTAGACCAGAATTACTCTGATTCACTGAACAAAACATTTTGGATTTCCTTGTCCTAATGAAGAATTGTCTTTTACATTTCTGTGAAAGAATATCAGAATAGAAAGATGTAAAAATGAATATCCGAACGCTTATGATTGCGGATCCTCATGACATTAATCATCGTTTTCCTAGAGTTTGACTCTGAATATTGATTTGCCTACTCCAGGGTCCACATGAATCCATCGTTATTTTGGAAAATTCTGTAATCCATATCGAAAAATTACTTCATTATTCAAAGTAAACATGGCGCTGCGTCAAAATAATAATCAAAGTATTATTCTGCGGAGCAATTATATAAATGACTTTTCAAAGCTCTTACAAGCGTTTGAAGTTAAAGGCATGGAAAATACAAAAAAGTTCATTAGCAAAACGTCTTCTATTTCGTTAAAAAATATAAACAACATTCAATACATATAATCCTCAAAGGCCACTAATTCGCTTTCATTATGACATTTCCAAATCCAGTCAGGCCTCACACAATTCGCATCGGCATTGATCTCTTTGAAACCCTCGCTGGTGTCTTCGGCAGCTACTATCACGTCAACGTCTTCTGTGGGATCGTCAGCCATCTTCCTGAAAGACTCTCAAATGAAAATAAATTGCTGAGTTTTATCATTCATCGATGTAGACGCTAGTATTGAAGAGATGCCTTTGAAATAATACGTGTTTTTGTAATCCTGGTAATGCATTGAAACATCAAAGTAATCTACCAGCGATGTACAGGAAACTTGAATTTTATAAACTGACAATATAGTTCAGGTATTTAAGTCTAGAGGGCACTAGCAAACTAAGGTGATTTGTATTGCGAAAATCTCAATTCAAAACAGTCAAAACTCGCAGCTCCATTCAGCAGCAGCAGCATGTCAAACAACTATGTTTCATTATGATGTTTTTCAAAATTTTAGATTTACTTGGACTTGGTTTTACCAAAGGAAAATGCTGTAAAGAAGTTGTGGTTGAGTGGTTAGATGTGGTAAGAATTATTTATGTGTTGACAGTGTTGTTGACAATTTCGAAAAAACTACCTATTACTTAAAATATATAAGATGTTGGTGTTGTACTACTTTCAATACAGTGAAGAATAAAATAAATAGCCTGAATTACCTTAGATATTATGATTGAGTAGTATATTGTAATATCTCTGAGTTCACTCGATATTCAATGGTACCGCAGTTGACACGTTTTTGTTGTACAAGTATATCTTTGTTCATACCTATACTATTCAAGTGCATTTAATTTAATTGTTAGAAAATGATGACTGAGGTTGGTGTAACGAACACCTAAATGTTTTAGGTAGGTAACTGCAGTGAAATGTTCTGATGTGAAGAGAATAGAGAGATTTGTTAAGAATATAATATTCAACATTACAGAACCTACACCTGCTGCAGAAAGGATGTGGCTATAATTCTATATAAGGTAGACACTTAATTCCAACAATTTTCTTCCCTGTACTAGTTTGTACAGGTCCCTTGTTGGATTTTTCGAGACACAATTTGGGTTGTTCATAAAACATGACGTGCTGTCTATATCCTCTTGTTGTCTAATTCGCATCTAATTACTCTGCTATTCTGGCAACTGGTATGGACACGCCTGAGAAAGCTATTGTATAGTGAAATAGGTGTTGCGGTCTTGTAAACTTGTAACGAAAGCATTGTCCTTTCTTTGCACGATGTTCGTATTTTCATGAATTATTTGTTGTGGTGTAAAGGTCCTTCTCTTGTCGGTTGGAACGCCATTGTTGTTTTTTGTTTTGCATTCAATATGTATTTTGTGCTACTAATAATAAGCTATAGGCTATAGGCAATTTGCAATTAGCCCGTTTGGTATTGTTGGCTGCATACCCAAAAAGCCAGTATTGGTAAATAAACAACGTTTGACGTGGACACAGTATACTTATATAAAGTAGTCCCACTGTAGCGTCGGTCCCTTTGATGTTGGTGTCCAGGTGTTTCAGTTTTTACAGTGCTGACGTATTTGACACTAATGACATTTCTCCCTACTACAATCTCAACCAAAGCGCCTAAACACTGCTCAACATAAAAACTATTCATATAAACTGCTCAAAAAATACAGTCGATGAAAACCATGTTGGGAACCTGAGAAAATTGTGCAAATGATAATTTTGCATTTGTGTAATATTCAAGTAACCCAGATCATTTGGACAATGTTGAACTATGTTTCAAGTAGATTTTAAAAATTCATGGGATCGGCAGATGTTCATATTCGTATGTGACTAAATATATTTTTATTTCAACAAGAAAAAAGAAAAAGATGAAGAAAGAGTTTTGTTATTCATGAAACATGGTACCAATCCATGTGAAATTTCTTTGTAGTAATTTTTGGGGCCAAATATAGCATATTCATTTATTTGGTTGAGAATTCAAGATGGCGGACGAGTTTGCCGATTCGATTATATTAAGGGCCAATTATTAAAAATATTCCTAATCGAATTCATCACCCAAGATTTAAGAATCTGTAGAGCCTATTCTTTTTGAATTATGTAGTAGAGGAAAGTCGCCTAATATGGGGGTAGTGCCTAATATGGGGTAGTTCAATTTTAAGCAAGTACTTGTTCCGACCCCTATTGTGAACATTAAAAACTAACCACCGACTTCCTAGAAAGCGCCCATTCACGTTTTGGAGCAAACTCGTGTTGCGTTTCGATGATTTAGGTTATGGTAATTTTGTGAATGAATGAAAATTTCTGGTGACTGTTGCATTTTAGATATTTAAGAAAACTCAAAGGTAAGTTTTGAAGTTAATAATATCATTCAATACAGACATTGGCGTAGTTTATGGAAATGTTTTAGTTTTTTAACAAAACGTCACAGTTTTTTCACAAACATTCCCCTTTCAAAAATCTACTTTGCTCGTAATATGGGGTACCTATCAATTTCTAATTTGGGGTACCCCATATTAGGGGACTGTGTACTTTTCCGTATAAAACTAAAGTATTTTCTTTCAGATGCCTAAAAAACGAAAAGTATGGAACAAGGAACAAATTATTTCAGCAATTTTAGCTGTTCGGCAAAGCGAAATGGGCTACAAGAAGAGTGCGCAGACCCACGGCATACTTCAAACGACCTTAGAAAGGTACGTAAAGATGAAGGGAGCGCCTGAAGACATTGTGAATTCTTCGTTAGGACAATAGAGATCACAAACTGGCTTAGGCTTAACCCAGGACGTGTTGTATCAGGCTATCAGGTGGGAGAACTTTTTGGGAAAGCCTACATAAGAGCGGCCACCATAGATACAGCTATAAACGGGATTAGAAAAACTGGAATGTTTCCTCCTGATAGAAACGCATTCAAAGAATATGATTTTGTGGCAGAAATGCAAGGAACAATTAATGAAGAAAGAGTAGAAACAGAAACGATGGATGAAGAAAAAGTAGAGGAAGACACAGTAGAGGAAAAACAATTAGATAACAACAAGCCAAAAGAAAAAATCCCTGATAGACAAGTTACCCATCCAAGACAGCAAACTGCTGAGAGACAGTTTACCCCTGAGAAACAGATTACCTCTGCCTGTTCCAACTGCTTCAAAAGTTATTATAAAAAAAAAAGTACAAAATGTGGAAAAGCTGCCTTTGTAACTAGCACTCCATACAAAGAGGAATTAGAGGCCAGCATAGAAAAAATATTTACCTTCAAATTCGGGCGTCAAAAGAAAGATTAAGGATTAAAAACCAAGTCATCAGAAAAAAATTGAACACACCCAAAAGAAAAAGAAACCGTCAATTGCCATAGAAAAAGCAAACAAACGCAAGTATGTATCCTGGAGTTCTTCTTCAGATTCGTCCCCTGAACCCGAGTATCAAGATTCAGATGACCAACAGGTAGAAAACTTTGGAAGAAGATGCTATTTGTATTTTTTGCGAAAATCCGTACTCCGAAGATGTCAGAGGCGAAGAGTGGGTAATGTGTCAAAGCTGCTTCAAATGGACTCATGTTGAATGTGCTGATTGTGAAAGAAATCCGTATATTTGTGACTTTGCATTTATAAATAATTTGTTGTATGTTCTTTCTAGATGAGAATTTTTTTTATGTTCATAAGGGACGAAACTTTTCATTAGATATATTTTTTTGCATTTCCATAAATAAATATTTCTCAAAAAAAACTAAATAATTTTACTT